TGAAGAAGTTCTCTCTGGCAACTTTTAAAAAGATGTGATAGAGTCGACATTTAAGACGAAGTTATAAGAAAGGTCGAAGTACAAGAATTAAACGCAACGACATAAGCAAATAACCTATTAAAGTTCTGCATATGATTCATTCTCTCACCTCGTGTAAAGTTACTGGTATTCTGCAAAAGTATACTAATATTTCCATATTTGGCTGCTGATCGTGGGAAAAGGAAACAGTCGTCTTAAAAATACTCTTAGTTACGAGCGCAGAAACCGGCAGAATATGTCAAGTTTCTGTTCGAAGAAGCAAAACACGATAACTTCTTGAACCACATGTCACACTGACCCAAGGTGTGAGACAAACATGAATGAATAATTAATTTTTGAGACAATTTTGTCGTGCCCTTTGCTTTCTGCATAAATTGATCACAAAAAATTCAGAGAATTTCATATTTGCCCCAATAGTTCTTTGTTAGGATTACATCTGAAATAAAAAAAAAAACTTCATAATTCATCTATAAACTTATTTCAGAGTTCCGATTAAATTTAGGTCCACAAATATAATTTACGGCCAGACGGCTCTTTCCGGACCAGCTTTAGTTAACCTCTCCGTCAAACCCTCAGCCCTACACATGTCAGCTTTCATTATGATTTTCTACAAGATCGGGTTGGTGAGGCCATGCAGGTCATATCATTATGGCCGAGCGAGAAAATTTTCTAGTCCGGTCCTCCCACTCAGTCAATATGTACATAGGGTCTTAGGGTAATTCAGTATTAACAACTGAGTTGACAACGTAAATTGGCCACCGTAACTGAAGAGTTTGGAAACTGACGTTTCGAGCGTTAGCCCTTCGCCAGAGCGATTGGTTGCAAAAGAAGTATGTACGATAAGTAGATGGTTGATGTTACGCTTCTGTTCGCCCCACTGCGTACCTCCCTTGTACGAACATCTTTTTTTTTTTCAGCAGAAGCGCGCACGGGGCCGCTCAGGTCATAATTACGATAATTCGGATAATCACCCAGGGAAAAGCGATTGAGATATAATACCAAACTATGCGAATTTTGGGAGAAAAAGCACATTTCAAGGAACGACGTTTCGGCCTCTCCAAAGCCATTTTCAGGTTTTTGCAAAATACAAAAATTTAGCACATAAATATAATGGTTAAATACAATAAATCTTATAACAAAACATGAAATTATTTTCAACTTAAATATTTCAATTGTTGTAATTGTGCAATTTTAACATGACATAACCCTTGTTACATTCTTTTCCGGTTTTTTATAAATATTATATTTATATGCTAATTTTTCTTAATTCTAGATTCTACTAGAACTTGAAAATGACCTCCAAGAGGTCGAAACGTCGTTCCCTAACATCGCCAATCTTTATTATAAAGTCTATATCAAAGAAATTTGAAGGCTCAATCAAGCAGCTTTGTTGTGTAAAATTCGTCAGTGAAACACAAGATTAATCAGCCTTTATTCATTTCCTCCTACTATGACGACAGATTACATTTCGCAAACTGATTGTTTTAAGTCAAACACTGAAAATGTATTATAACCGTATCGATCTCTGAAAAAATGATGACTCATCCCACTGTCGCCGATTTGCAAAAATTTGGATTGCTGACTTGTCATCGGACTTGAAGCTGAAAAGATTATTTACCTCACTAATCGAAACTTAAATTTATAATTTTTTTCTCAACATTGTATTGAGGTAAAACAATTATAAATTTGGGTCAGAAATGTCAGAAATGACAGACAAGCTAGTTGAGTAGATGCTGAACGAAGATAAGTTTTCATCAAAAGAGCCGACCTTTTTGAGTGGCAGCTAAATACTAATTTATATTATTCATCGTTTTATTTTGCAGAGGAGGCGGTCAATTTTTATGATAATTTCTCAGTTATTTCGTACCGAGCGAGAAGAATTTCTTTCATAAGTATTTACTGCCAAAAATTACAACCTAAAACTAATGGAGGAATCAACCTTGAACTGCATAAATTCGACGACTTTTTCACCAACTACTCGGGAAGAGGAGTGCTTTTCCAGAGATCCGATGCCATTGAAAATCATCCGAATTTGTGCTTATTGTATTGTGATCTTCGTCTCTTTAGTTGGTAATCTCTTGATAATTGCGGTGACAAGGAGAACAAAAATGACAAGTAGAAAATCTATCCATTATCTGATTGTGAACATGGCCATGGCAGACATATTTCTAACAGTGTACATGCCTCGGATGATAGCTCTGGCTTATGTGGGTTACGAATGGCAGATTGACAACCTGCCAGGCGAGATATTCTGCAAAATTTCAACACTGCTTAGTCACGCTTGCATGACTGCATCGATTCTCACTGTTGTGGCAATCAGTTTTGATCGGTTTTTAGCTGTTATTTTCCCATTACGATCGTCGCTCCTCACAATTCCAAGAACCAAGATGATCATAATTTTCATATGGCTCACGGCTATTGCATTTCGAGTACCCATGGCATATTCAGCAAGCCTACACAACTTGAACGGAAAACCCCATTGTGTCATTGTCCTGGATGAGACATTCGGTGATGGAACCAAAAAAGTCTACTACTTTCTAAATCTCTTCAGCCTTTTTGTGATACCATTCTTTATCATTTTGATTTTATACACTGCCATTTTGGTAACTCTAAAGAAACGTAAACCACCACAAGTTGACACTACTCTGAATATAAACCCATGGCAACAGCGTAAAGAGGAAACTACAAGAAGAGTCCTACAACTGGCAACAGCTGTTGTGATGGCATTTATAATTTGCTGGTTTTTGTACTTCATTCGTCTTATCTTGTTCTCCTACAACGTCGATGTTTCATGCCATATTTTATTTTTGCGCCTTTTTCTCGCCCACTCTAACAGCGCCATCAATCCATGTCTTTACGTGGTATTCAGTGAGAGCTATCGACACGGAGTCAAAAATATCATCTCGCAGTATTTTCCAAAAGTTTGTTGGACAGAAAATTATGTTTTACCATCGTCCGCAGCAGTTGCAAACTCTAGAGCTACATATCAAGAAAAAGCCGACGGAAAATTTCCCCATCAACGAAATTGTAAAGGAGACAGCGCCATGATCGCAGAAAGGGCAATGGAGAATTCCATTTCTGATGAAGACGCAGTGTAAAAAAACGCGATCGACGCCTGGCGCGGGAAAACGCGAGTAACCAGGTCATGACCGGTTTTCATCTTTCATCAAAACTTTGGCTCAACATATAAACGAGATAACCTCCGACAAGAAGGGAAGTTTGTCTATTGTGCATTATTCCTCTGTCTTTCATTAAAATTACCTGACAGTTCCTTGTTACTAGTTCATTCCCCTTATTGGAAAGAAGAACTGTTAGAATGAAATGTCTTGCCTAACAATGCCGACTCTCACCCGTGGCTGATTGTGAGCTGTGATTAGCTCGAAAGGAAACTTACGCTTTCAAATCAACTAATCAGACGTAAGGTTCACGCGAATGCTGACTTGGTCATGTGCCCCATTGGCCTTATGTATATCTTTGTTGTCTGCATGAATGGCTACCAATAGCAGTTAATTTTATGAATTTTTACAAATAGCAGTTCATTTTACGATCCTCAATCAGTCATAACTGCTTAATTGCAATGCGTAGTATATACATCTCAATAGTGACCATAGGAATTTGTTGTTGCATAAAACTAGTCACTAAGCAGAGCGGGAAATGTTTTTCTGATCAGGTAGATAGGAAAAGGATACAAACGTAATTTCCCCAGATATCATTAAGCAATAGTTGCATAAAATAAACTTTGATGCGGTCATTTCATTGGTAATTCGTGTCTAAACTTGAACCAATGACGTCGATTATTCGGAGCGTCTTAAAAAAAATTGAAGTCACAGTTGGAAGTTACTTTTTTATTTTTATTGGTGAGAATTCAGTTTATCTTCGAGCTTAAAAAGAAAAGTCTATCCTTTCAACTAATGAATATTGAAAGCTTCCGAAAGGGTTTAATTTGCGTTTGAGCAGACATATTGACGGTTTTCATAAGCTTGAACCGAAGAAAAATCATGTTTTAACAGCTTGGCATGTTTTATTTAGCTTGGGCTCTTCGCAATGAGCCTGCCAATACAACAATATAAACATTAATGCCAAGGTTGTTGAGAGCCGCTATTTACTTTATTTCGAGCGTTTGACACTCAAAGACGATGACTTGTATCAATGAATTGACCCACAAGAGTGACAAGCATCTAATTTCTCCTTACAATATCCCCCCTGAATCACACATCAAAGTTACGAGAGTACATAAAACGATCATCATCTAAAAGAGCTCTTGATTGTTAGACAAATTCTCCTGCTCAGCACTTCAGGAAATTTATGGGGAACAGTATGGAGAATATGCATACTGATTTTCAGAGATAAAGAGTCAAATGTGAATTAAAGCCGACACATATTGAACATTCCCCCGGAACTACTCGGTTTTTTCGGTATGTCGGTCATGTATTAGATATCTTTATGAGATTTGGGTATTTGTAAGTATTTGCAACAAAAGATTTCCTTCCCCTTCGGTCACGAATTCAGCGGGCAGTTTCTCTAGGAGAAACAGCTTGATGATATATTCAACGTAAAGAAGGGCTGAGCGAAAGAACAAAATCAAAGCCAGGAAAAATGTTGAACAAAAACCCCAGGACAAGGTCGAATTAAAGTCATCACACTGTTGCTTTACCATCGAGGCTTGTATTCATCGCCAATTTGAGCTTTTTGTCAACATCTTGTCAAACTCAGGTACTTTTCTTCAATTTTAGGCCTTGTACCAAACAGCGGGCGCTAATCAGTTCTTACGTAATTCAAATACTGAAAGGGAAGATGTAATTTTTTTTCGTTTCGAACCGTTTGTTGATGGGCACGCTCACGCTTTCTTTTTGTCCGCATTTTCAACTTTGCTCATCGTCATTTTGTTGAGTTTTCCACAGATTCATTGTGCTTGTCGGAAACACCTTTTGCGAGGAATTCTCCTCGCTGAGAATACCACTTCAAAACGCGCAGCGAACCAGAATGCGTTTCAATCCTGTACGGAAGTTCTCGTTTAAAGCGAAGCACAAACATGGATTCACTGCACTGTTTAGATCAGCCAAAAACAATCTGAAAAATAAAACTTCACAGCCCACTTGTATTTTGTACGAAAATAAAATGAGTTGGACAAAGTAGAGCAACCAGCAGAGCACAAATACAGCCACCACTATCAACACCATTCGAAGAACTTTCTTCTTTATCCGTGTGTCTCTTGTATGCTCTCTTCCTGCGATTTCTTCTCCGGGTGCTTTTCGTAGTTTCAGGGAAATTAAAATGGCCGAATACAGCATAACTATCACTGCTAAAGGTACAGCAAAGAGGCCAATGAGGGTAAAATTGTAATAGGTCTTTTCGGCTCCTTGATAGAACACATGGTCTAATGACAGTTGACAACTCGTTTCGCCATTTTTGGTGTTAATAAGTTTCAGGCCATACAACATCGGCAGACGAATAACGACAGATGAGAACCATATCATTGTAATAATGATTCGACAAATTTTCTTCGTAATAATGGTCCTCAACGGCAATATCACAGCGAAAAATCGATCAAAGCTGATGGCTACCACAGTGAATATGGAAACGCAAATGGCAGTTTGATGCATGAAAACAGCGAACTTACATACCACAAGTCCCAATGTACCGTATAGCTGCCATTTATAGCCATCATGCCACACAAACAGCGAGCGAGGCATGTACAATGTTATTAAAAGGTCTGCAGTACACATATTGACCATGAAAAAGTTAACCGTTTTCCTCATGCGCTGTTCTTTCCATACCACGGCAATGATCGCAGAATTTCCAAGAAGAGATACTACAAGCAGCATGCAATAAGGAACGATCCTGGCCATTTTAACAGCTGTTAAATCATTCTCAAAGCAGTTCTCGTTTTGGACGCTTTCGTTCTTGGGGGTATAATTGAAGCTTTCATTGGCCAACGACATCGCCAGGCTGGGAAAATTAAAATCAATGAATTCCTAGCCGCACTACTGAGCTGTTGGGAAAGGTCTTACAGGTGATTAATATTTAAAGAGTCTTTCATTTCTTGGTCATAATACTCACGAAAGATATTTTCCACTAAAATTCCGGTTTAGGGAAAAATCCTTCCGAATGCAAATGTAAAGTGATCTTTTTCTCAATTTGTTATGAATTTAAATAATAATAGAACGATGTGGTTTTTTTTTTTGGACACATAAAACCACCCAGGTTGAATTAAGAACTTCAAATACACCTGCAAGACTTCCAAAGAGTATAGGATCTACCCTCGCTCAGCAGAAAATCTTAATAACAGAGTCCTTAACTTACCAATAGCAGTTTAAAGAAAAATCCGATTAGTTTTACTCCGATGTAATTGCTTAATGTACGTTTTAGCGAAAACCTTCAACTAATCTGATCATGTTACGACGTCCATAAACAAACAGTTACGAGTGGGTATTTTGTAAATGCATCTTGTGTTAGGTTTGTCATCCAACGAACCAATAGTTCGCCAAGATAGTGAAGCACAATTCAAAATGAATAAAAACAGTGTCATGAAATAGAGGGAGCCGCTGATATTCGGTGCTTTAGTCTGAATTAATTAAGTACTTTTAGTGGGAGCGGAGGAGAATTTTTGAATGCTTAGAAATGGTATTGACTAGTATTTTCAAGCATTCAAAAAAATTCCAGTCACTGAAACAGCGTAAATTTTTGTTGCGGCAATAATTTTTGGACTTTTGTTCAATAGAGCATTAGCACATGAATTATCGGAATACCACTCCATGATATCGTTTCTAAGGATTTTCATCTGTGAGGTTATTCGATTCGAAGTAAATATTTGTACATAGTGGAATTTTGCACAAGGTTTTGACGTTAAATAACATCAAGTTTGGAACCCGTCAGAAACACCAAAACTGTCGGCTTGAATTTTTTTCATCGTTGCACCTGTGAAAACAACGACAGTCTAAGTGTAAGACTTTGTTTAATCAAATTCAAAGCGTCAATAACCAACTTTCAGCCTGTACGAAAATCGACTCAAATACATCTACTGATGTATACAAAATGGAACGCTTTCTTGGTAGGAGTAACACGATGACCTTCGCTGCTAAGAGGAAAAGAGAACTCAGCTTAAGACCACTTTATCTTTGAAATTATAACCCCCTGTTGAATAATGAGTTTAACCTCATCTGCAAAAAATGAACGCTCAATTTTCATATCGCATAATTCTTCGCTAGAAAAAAAAATTCCCCTCTGTTTAAACAGGTTATAGTTCCACAAATAGATGTTTTTACAGTTGCTTTGTGTTTTGCCAAGTTTTCACGAGTTGTCTAAGCACCTTAACACCTCTAAGAGAACAAAGGACGTATGTTTTGAGTTATTTTACCTTTAAAAACATTCCGTTTTTTTTTTTACAAGGGCTCTACATATGCGTTAGAAAAAAACGCGATGGTCAAAAAGGTATAATACTTGGTAATAGACGTTAGACACAAAATGGTGACAACGATTTTTTACATTTAATAATCGTTTCACAGTTAGGTATTTACGTCTAGAAAGGGAAATACTATTGACGAAATAAAAGCCAGCAAAAAAGAGAATTATGCGCAGACAATTCTTAGTGAAAATAACTTATATCAACAAGATACCTAAGCGCACAACTAAAAAAAAGTTTTTGACGAATGCGTAAAATTATACGATATGCACATTTATTTACATTCGGTCAGTTACAACTACAAGGCCAAACCAAGACTAAAAAGTCCTCCCTGCTTTAACTCGTTCTCGGTGGGTTGCATCACAAGTGTTGTATAAGTTTTGTATTAAGTTATTTAAAAACTCCTAGCTTGACTGGCCAAGATTTTGTTGACTTACAGGTATAAAGCTAGATTTTATGAAAGTGGCGGAGATGATCTGCACATAAGCACAAAAACTTGTGGATGGTCTTCATGAAAAGAATTGCAAAAATTTTAAAGAATTCTGCACGATGTTATTCCTTTTTCACAAGATCGGATTTTAGGAACATTTTAAGACAAAAATAACCTTAAAATCCAAATAAAGAAAAATAATTTCTCATTTCAACTTTTTAAAAAAAGTACTTGAGACTTTCTCTTCCAAAGAATGATCGTAAATACTCACTGGCACCGCTTTAAAAGAACGCTTTCTATCGCTGACTTTAGTTCGCTACATAAATCTCTCGACAGCTTTCAAAAATTCAACTAGATTACTCATGGTTCCTTCATCAGACGAAACTGCACTCTCGCAGGCAGTTCGAGCTTTGATCCCAAAATCTCTTGCCTGCAACGAAAATAACAAACGCTTCAGCGCGTAAAAGAACAGTCTACGATGGAAACTAAGACATTTAGTTTGGAAACTTTTAACCCTCTCAGATTGAAAACTGATTATGAATAGGGAGGGAAGTGATTCGTCGTGTCAGTAAGAAATACATTAATTGTATCGAGTTTACTATGAGGACAAAATCAGACGGTATTTAACGAGGTCTGCTCGTTTCTCACGGTGTCGCCGTTCGAGCCGCAGCCTACGGCCTGCTCGCGGACTATCTTTCAGACTTTATGCACAAATCAAGTTTGTGCATGCACACGACAATTAACCACAGTCGTACGATTTAAGTTATACGGACTTACTTTTGGCATATCTCCCAAAATAAACTGTAACATGGCTGTGGTGAAATATATTTTACACATGACCGCAGGAGTTTGCACTGTCTGCTGCTCTCGCAGGTCCAATATGGCATTTACCACCTGGATAGCCTCTGCTTCTTGAGCCTCGTCTGAAAAAACGAAACATCTTAAGTTCACCTTTAATTTACCTTGCTTATAAATTTTACACAAGGAAGTCCTGACACGAGTCTCTGATAGCCTGCTATTTGCGCAACCTTTAACTATTTGAAATCCAGCTGTAGCTAATGTTATTTTTTTCAAAACTTCTAGACACAAAAAGGGTAAATTACACAAACATAAGCCCCACCAGAGAGGCTCACTCAGACAAAAACAATTGCAATAAAAGACGCAGGTGATTGTTTCGAAGAGGTTTGGAATGGAGTTGTATGAAATGAGTGGCAAAGCCTTGAGAGCCAATTGTTCAGGAGCTCGTTTCCTTCATTCCTATTTAACGCCCTCGAAACCGGCACGAAAAGCAAAATTTTCTCAGCTAGCGTAAAAAACATTCGAACTAAGAAAAAATACTTCCAGTGAGACCATCAGTAACATATTTTATCACAATTATTGTCACTTTGGATGCTGTGCCACTGAGTTATAGGAAACCGAAATTGCCCAACGAATGAAAAACAAACACAGATCTTGTAATTTAACACACATTCCACATTTTAGTACCTAAAACATCAAAATCTGTTGGTACACCAGAGTTGAAGGCTGGTCCTATCCCAGAAGGTTCTGCAGGCGTTTTGGTTCTCTGACCCACCAATTTGCCAAGGTGTTCAAACCAGATGTCTGTCACCTGGAAATAAAAATGAGCTTATGCCATTAGAATTGTGAATATGCATTCATAATAGTCTAGCACACAAGACAAGTGACAGACCAAATCATTGTAGCAAATTGCAATTTCCATGTAACTTGAAGTGAATACACTGCTAATGCAGCAGTCTTATTACTCCCTCTGGCTATAGCCTGCCAGTAAGGTAACTCGATAAACCCAGAGCACAGAGTCCCAAGGTACCGCTTAACTATGAAAAAGAGGACAAATTCAACTTAAAGACGAGATCAAATTTTGTTGAAGAAGTTCTCTCTGGCAACTTTTAAAAAGATGTGATAGAGTCGACATTTAAGACGAAGTTATAAGAAAGGTCGAAGTACAAGAATTAAACGTAACGACTTAAGCAAATAACCTATCAAAGTTCTGCATATGATTCATTCTCTCACCTCGTGTAAAGTTACTGGTATTCTGCAAAAGTATACTAATATTTCCATATTTGGCTGCTGATCGTGGGAAAAGGAAACAGTCGTCTTAAAAATACTCTTAGTTACGAGCGCAGAAACCGGCAGAATATGTCAAGTTTCTGTTCGAAGAAGCAAAACACGATAACTTCTTGAACCACATGTCACACTGACCCAAGGTGTGAGACAAACATGAATGAATAATTAATTTTTGAGACAATTTTGTCGTGCCCTTTGCCTTCTGCATAAATTGATCACAAAAAATTCAGAGAATTTCATATTTGCCCCAATAGTTCTTTGTTAGGATTACATCTGAAATAAAAAAAAAACCTCATAATTCATCTATAAACTTATTTCAGTTTTCCGATTAAATTTAAGTCCACAAATATAATTTACGGCCAGACGGCTCTTTCCGGACCAGCTTTAGTTAACCTCTCCATCAAACCCTCAGCCCTACACAGCTTTCATTATGATTTTCTACAAGATCGGGTTGGTGAGGCCATGCAGGTCATATCATTATGGCTGAGCGAGAAAATTTTCTAGTCCGGTCCTCCCACTCAGTCAATATGTACATGGGGTCTTAGGGTAATTCAGTATCAACAACTGAGTTGACAACGAAAATTGGCCACCGTAACTGAAGAGTTTGAAAACTGACGTTTCGAGCGTTAGCCCTTCGCCAGAGCGATTGGTTGCAAAAGAAGTATGTACGATAAGTAGATGGTTGATGTTACGCTTCTGTTCGCCCCACTGCGTACCTCCCTTGTACAGACATCTTTTTTCAGCAGAAGCGCGCACGGGGCCGCTCAGGTCATAATTACGATAATTCGGATAGTCACCCAGGGAAAAGCGATTGACATATAATACCAAACTATGCGAATTTTGGGAGAAAAAGCACATTTCAAGGAACGACGTTTCGGCCTCTCCAAGGTCATTTTCAGGTTTTTGTAAAATACAAAAATTTAGCACATAAATATAATGGTTAGATACAATAAATCTTATAACAAAACATGAAATTATTTTCAACTTAAATATTTCAATTGTTGTAATTGTGCAATTTTAACATGACATAACCCTTGTTACATTCTTTTCCGGTTTTTTATAAATATTATATTTATATGCTAATTTTTCTTAATTCTAGATTCTACTAGAACTTGAAAATGACCTCCAAGAGGTCGAAACGTCGTTCCTTAACATCGCCAATCTTTATTACAAAGTCTATATCAAAGAAATTTCAAGGCTCAATCAAGCAGCTTTGTTGCGTTAAATTCGTCAGTGAAACATAAGATTTATCAACATTTATTCATTTCCTCCCTACTATGACGACAGATTACATTTCGCAAATTGGTTGTTTTAAGTCAAACACAGGAAATGTACTATAACCGTATCGATCTCTGAAAAAATGATGACTCATCCCACTGTCGCCGATTTGCAAAAATTTGGATTGCTGACTAGTCATCGGACTTGAAGCTGAAAAGATTATTTACCTCACTAATCGAAACTGAAATTTATAATTTTTTTTTCAATATTGTATTGAGGTAAAACAATTATAAATTTGAGTCAGAACTGTCAGAAATGACAGACAAGCTAGTTGAGTTACGTAGATGCTGAACGAAGATAAGTTTTCATCACAAGAGCCGACCTTTTGGAGTGGCAGCTGAATGCTAATTTATATTATTCATCGTTTTATTTTGCAGAGGAGGCGGTCAATTTTTATGATAATTTCTCAGAGTTATTTCGTACCGAGCGGGTAGAATTTCTTTCATAAGTATTTACTGCCAAAAATTACAACTTAAAACTAATGGAGGAATCAACCTTGAATTGCATAAATTCGACGACTTTTTCACCAACTCCTCGGGAAGAGGAGTGCTTTTCCAGAGATCCGATGCCATTGAAAATCATCCGAATTTGTGCATATTGCATTGTGATCTTCGTCTCTTTAGTTGGTAATCTCTTGATCATTGCGGTGACGAGGAGAACAAAAATGACAAGTAGAAAATCTATCCATTATCTGATTGTGAACATGGCCATGGCAGACATATTTCTAACAGTGCACATGCCTCGGATGATAGCTCTGGCTTATGTGGGTTACGAATGGAAGATTGACAACCTGCCAGGCGAGATATTCTGCAAAATTTCAACACTGCTTAATCACGCTTGCATGACTGCATCGATTCTCACTGTTGTGGCAATCAGTTTTGATCGGTTTTTAGCTGTTATTTGCCCATTACGATCGTCGCTCCTCACAATTCCAAGAACCAAGGTGATCATAATTTTCATATGGCTCACGGCTATTGCATTTCGAGTACCCATGGCATATTCAGCAAGCCTACACAACTTGAACGGAAAACCAAATTGTTACATTGTTCTGGATGAGACATTCGGTGATGGAACCAAAAAAGTCTACTACTTTCTAAATCTCTTCAGCCTTTTTGTGATACCATTCTTTATTATTTTTATTTTATACACTGCCATTTTGGTAACTCTAAAGAAACGTAAACCACCACAAGTTGACACTACTCTGAATATAAACCCATGGCAACAGCGTAAAGAGGAAACTACAAGAAGAGTCCTACAACTGGCAACAGCTGTTGTGATGGCATTTATAATTTGCTGGTTTTTGTACTTCATTCGTCTTATCTTGTTCTCCTACAACGTCGATGTTTCATGCCATATTTTATTTTTGCACCTTTTTCTCGCCCACTCTAACAGCGCCATCAATCCATGTCTTTACGTGGTATTCAGTGAGAGCTATCGACACGGAGTCAAAAATATCATCTCGCAGTATTTTCCAAAAGTTTGTTGGACAGAAAATTATGTTTTACCAGCGTCCGCAGCAGTTGCAAACTCTAGAGCTACATGTCAAGAAAAAGCCGACGGAAAATTTCCCCATCAACGAAATTGTAAAGGAGAGAGTGCCATGATCGCAGAAAGGGCAATGGAGAATTCCATTTCCGATGAAGACGCAGTGTAAACAAACGCGATCGTCGCCTGGCGCGGGAAAACGCGAGTAACCAGGTCATGATTGGTTTTCATCCTTCCTCAAAACTTTGGCTTAAGATATAAACCAGATAACCTCCGACAAGAAGGGAAGTTTGTCCATTGTGCATTATTCCTCTGTCTTTCATTAAAATTACCTGACAGTTCCTTGTTACTAGTTCATTCCCCTTATTGGAAAGAAGAACTGTTAGAATGAAATGTCTTGCCTAACAATGCCGACTCTCACCCGTGGCTGATTGTGAGCTGTGATTAGCTCGAAAGGAAACTTACGCTTTCAAATCAACTAATCAGACGTAAGGTTCACGCGAATGCTGACTTGGTCATGTGCCCCAGCGGCCTTGTGTATATCTTTGTTGTCTGCATGAATGGTTACCAATAGCAGTTAATTTTATGAATTGTTACAAATAGCAGTTCATTTTACGACCTCAATCAGTCATAACTGCTTAATTGCAATGAGTAGTATACAGCTATTTCAATTTACGTTGTCGGATCAAAGCTTCAAGGGTACGGGACAAGACCGAAAGGCGGTATGGGTAGATTAGAATTAATTGAATTGAAACCCCAACATTTCTTTCATCCAAATGCCTCGCCATCGGAGATCTTCGCTGTATGGACGAGGCATTGTTAATTTTGCTGATAATTATTCATTAAGATCCCATATTCCCCTTCGGTCTTGTCTTGTAGGCTTGAGGCTTTGATCCGACAACGTAAATTGAAATAGCTGTATGCATCTCAATAGTGACCATAGGAATTTGTTGTTGCATAAAACTAGTCACTAAGCAGAGCGGGAAATGTTTTTTTGATCAGGTAGATAGGAAAAGGATACAAACGTAATTTCCCTAGATATCATTAAGCAATAGTTGCATAAAATAAACTTTGATGCGGTCATTTCATTGATAATTCGTGTCTAAACTTGGACCAATGACGTCGATTATTCGGAGCGTCTTAAAAAAAATCGAAGTCACAGTTGGAAGTTACTGTTTTATTTTTATTGGTAAGAATTCAGTTTATCTTCGAGCTTAAAAAGAAAAGTCTATCCTTTCAACTAATGAATATCGAAAGCTTCCGAATGGGTTTAATATGCGTTTGAGCAGACATATTAACGGTTTTCTTAAGCTTGAACCGAAGAAAAATCATGTTTTAACAGCTTGGCATGTTTTATTTAGCTTGGGCTCTTCGCAATGAGCCTGCCAATACAACAATATAAACATTAATGCCAAGGTTGTTGAGAGCCGCTGTTTACTTTATTTCGAGCGTTTGAAACTCAAAGACGATTCCAGCTGCTTTATGACTTGTATCAATGAATTGACCCACAAGAGTGACAAGCATCTAATTTCTCCTTACAATATCCCCCCTGAATCACACATCAAAGTTACGAGAGTACATAAAACGATCATCATCTAAAAGAGCTCTTGATTGTTAGACAAATTCTCCTGGTCAGCACTTCAGGAAATTTACGGGGAACAGTATGGAGAATATGCATACTGATTTTCAGAGATAAAGGGTCAAATGTGAGTTAAAGCCGACACATATCGAACATTCCCCCGGAACTACTCGGTTTTTTCGGTATGTCGGTCATGTAATAGATATCTTTATGAGATTTGGGTATTTGTAAGTATTTGCAACAAAAGATTTCCTTCCCCTTCGGTCACGAATTCAGCGGGCAGTTTCTCCAGGAGAAACAGCCTGATGTTTTGCTCACTTAGACATATTCAACGTAAAGAAGGGTTGAGCGAAAGAACAAAATCAAAGCCAGGAAAAATGTTGAACAAAAACCCCAGGACAAGGTCGAATTAAAGTCGTCACACTGTTGCTTTACCATCGAGACTCGTATTCATCGCCAATTTGAGCTTTTTGTCAACATCTTATCAAACTCAGGTACTTTTCTTCAATTTTAGGCCTTGTACCAAACAGCGGGCGCTAATCAGTTCTTACGTAATTCAAATACTGAAAGGGAAGATGTAATTTTTTTCGTTTCGAACCGTTTGTTGATGGGCACGCTCACGCTTTCTTTTTGTCCGCATTTTCAACTTTGCTCATCGTCATTTTGTTGAGTTTTCCACAGATTCATTGTGCTTGTCGGAAACACCTTTTGCGAGGAATTCTCCTCGCTGAGAATACCACTACAAAGCGCGCAGCGAACCAGAATGCGTTTCAATCCTGTACGGAAGTTCTCGTTTAAAGCGAAGCACAAACATGGATTCACTGCACTGTTTAGATCAGCCAAAAACAATCTGAAAAATAAAACTTCACAGCCCACTTGTATTTTGTACGAAAATAAAATGAGTTGGACAAAGTAGAGCAACCAGCAGAGCACAAATGCAGCCACCACTATCAACACCATTCGAAGAACTTTCTTCTTTATCCGTGTGTCTCTTGTATGCTCTCTTCCAGCGATTTCTTCTCCGGGTGCTTTTCGTAGTTTCAGGGAAATTAAAATGGCCGAATACAGCACAACTATCACTGCTAAAGGCACAGCAAAGAGGCCAATGAGGGTAAAATTGTAATAGGTCTTTTCGGCTCCTTGGTAGAACACATCGTCTAATGACAGATGACAACTCGTTTCGCCATTTTTGGTCTTAATAAGTTTCAGGCCATACAACATCGGCAGACGAATAACGACGGATGAGAACCATATCATTGTAATAATGATTCGACAAATTTTCTTCGTAATAATGGTCCTCAACGGCAATATCACAGCGAAAAATCGATCAAAGCTGATGGCTACCACAGTGAATATGGAAACGCAAATGGCAGTTTGATGCATGAAAACAGCGAACTTACATACCACAAGTCCCAATGTACCGTATAGCTGCCATTTATAGCCATCATGCCACACAGACAGCGAGCGAGGCATGTACAATGTTATTAAAAGGTCTGCAGTACACATGTTGACCATGAAAAAGTTAACCGTTTTCCTCAGGCGCTGTTCTTTCCATACCACGGCAATGATCGCAGAATTTCCAAGAAGAGATACTACAAGCAGCATGCAATAAGGAACGATCCTGGCCATTTTAACAGCTGTTAAATCATTCTCAAAGCAGTTCTCGTTTTGGACGCTTTCGTTCTTGGGGGTATAATTGAAGCTTTCATTGGCCAACGACATCGCCAGGCTGGGAAAATTAAAATCAATGAATTCCTAGCCGCACTACTGAGCTGTTGGGAAAGGTCTTACAGGTGATTAATATTTAAAGAGTCTTTCATTTTTCCACTAAAATTCCGGTTTAGGGAAAAATCCTTCCGAATGCAAATGTAAAGTGATCTTTTTCTCAATTTGTTATGAATTTAAATAATAATAGAACGATGTGTTTTTTTTTGGACACATAAAACCACCCAGGTTGAATTAAGAACTTCAAATGCACCTGCAAGACTTCCAAAGAGTATAGGATCTACCCTCGCTCAGCAGAAAATCTTAATAACAGAGTCCTTAACTTACCAATAGCAGTTTAAAGAAAAATCCGATTAGTTCTACTCCGATGTAATTGCTTAATGTACGTTTTAGCTAAGGCGAAAACCTTCAACTAATCTGATCATGTTACGACGTCCATAAACAAACAGTTACGAGTGGGTATTTTGTAAATGCACCTTGTGTTAGGTTTGTCATCCAACGAACCAATAGATCGCCAAGATAGTGAAGCACAATTCAAAATGAATACAAACAGTGTCATGAAATAAAGGGAGCCGCTGATATTCGGTGCCTTAGTCTGAACTAATTATGTACTTTTAGTGGGAGCGTAGGGGAATTTTTGAATGCTTAGAAATAGTATTGACTAGTATTTTCAAGCATTCAAAAAATCCCAGTCACTGAAACAGCGTAAATTTTTGTTGCGACAATAATTTTGGACTTTTGTTCAATAGAGCATTAGCACATAAATTATCGGAATACCACTCTATGATATCGTTTCTAAGGATTTTCATCTGTGAGGTTGTTCGATTCGAAGTAAATATTTGTACATAGTGGAATTTTGCACAAGGTTTTGACATCAAATAACATCAAGTTTGGAACCCGTCAGAAACACCAAAACTGTCGGCTTGAGTTTTTTTCATCGTTGCACCTGTGAAAACAACGACAGTCTGGGTGTAAGACTTTGTTTAATCAAATTCAAAGCGTCAATAACCAACTTTCAGCCTGTACGAAAATCGACTCAAATACATCTACTGATGTATACAAAATGGAACGCTTTCTTGGTAGGAGTAACACGATGACCTTCGCTGCTAAGAGGAAAAGAGAACTCAACTTAAGACCACTTTATCTTTGAAATTATAACCCCCTGTTGAATAATGAGTTTAATCTCATCTGCAAAAAATGAACGCTCAATTTTCATATCGCATAATTCTTCGCTAGAAAAAAAAATTCCCCTCTGTTTAAACAGGTTATAGTTCCACAAATAGATGTTTTTACAGTTGCTTTGTGTTTTGCCAAGTTTTCACGAGTTGTCTAAGCACCTTAACACCTCTAAGAGAACATAGGACGTATGTTTTGAGTTATTTTACCTTTAAAAACATTCCGTTTTTTTTTTTTACAAGGGCTCTACATATGCGTTAGAAAAAAACGCGAGGGTCAAAAAGGTACAATACTTGGTAATAGACGTTAGACACAAAATGGTGACAACGATTTTTTACATTTAATAATCGTTTCACAGTTAGGTATTTACGTCTAGAAAGGGAAATACTATTGACGAAATAAAAGCCAGCAAAAAAGAGGATTATGCGCAGACAATTCTTCGTGAAAATAACTTATATCAACAAGATACCTAAGCGCACAATTAAAAAAAAGTTTTTGACGAATGCGTACAATTGTCGGATATGCACATCTATTTACATTAGGTCAGTTACAACTACAAGGCCATACCAAGACTCTAAAAAGTCCTCCCTGCTTTAACTCGTTCTCGGTGGGTTGCATCACAAGTTTTGTATAAGATTAAGTTATTTAAAAACTCCTAGCTTAACCGGTCAAGATTTTGTTGACTTACAGGTATAAAGCTAGATTTTATGAAAGTGGCGGAGATGAACTACACATAAGTACAAGAACTTGTGGATGGTCCTCATGAAAAGAATTGCAAAAATTTTAAAAAATTCTGCACGATGTAATTCCTTTTTCACAAGATCGGATTTTAGGAACATTTTAAGACAAAAATAACACTAAAATCCAAATAGAGAAAAATAATTTCTTATTTCAACTTTTTAAAAAAAGTACTTGAGACTTTTTTCTTCCGAAGAATGATCGTAAATACTCACTGGCATCGCTTTAAAAGAACGCTTTCTATCGCTGACTTAAGTTCGCTACATAAATCTCTCGACAGCTTTCAAAAATTCAACGAGATTACTCATGGTTCCTTCGTCAGACGAAACTGCACTCTCGCAGGCAGTTCGAGCTTTGATCCCAAAATCTCTTGCCTGCAACGAAAATAACAAACGCTTCAGCGCGTAAAAGAACAGTCTACCGAACGATGGAAACTAAGACATTTAGTTTGGAAACTTTTAACCCTCTCAGATTGAAAACTGATTATGAATAGGGAGGGAAGTGATTCGTCGTGTCAGTAAGAAATGCATAAATTGTATCATGTTTACTATGAGGACAAAATAAGACGGTATTTAACAAGGTCTGCTCGTTTCTCACGGTGTCGCCGTTCGAGCCGCAGCCTACGGCCTGCTCGCGGACTATCTTTCGGACTTTATGCACAAATCAAGTTTGTGCATGCACACGGCAATTAACCACAGTCGTACGATTTAAGTTATACGGACTTACTTTTGGCATATCTCCCAAAATAAACTGTAACATGGCTGTGGTGAAATATATTTTACACATGACTGCTGGAGTTTGGACTGTCTGCTGCTCTCGCAGGTCCAATATGGCATTTATCACCTTGATAGCCTCTGCTTCTTGAGCCTCGTCTGAAAAAAGGAAACATCTAAAGTTCACTTTTAATTTACCTTGCTTATAAATTTTACACAAGGAAGTCCTGACACGAGTCTCTGATAGCCTGCTAGTTGCGCAACCTTTAACCATTTGAAATCCAGCTGTAGCTTATGTTATTTTTTTCAAAACCTCTAGACACAAAAAGGGTAAATTACACAAACATAATCTCCACCAGAGAGGCTCACTCAGACAAAACAATTGCAATAAAAGACGCAGGTGATTGTTTCGAAGAGGTTTGGAATGGAGATCTATGAAATGAGTGGCAAAGCCTTAAGAGCCAATTGTTCAGGAGCTCGTTTCCTTCATTCCTATTTAACCCCCTCGAAGCCGGCACGAAAAGCAAAATTTTCTTAGCTAGCGTCAAAAGCATTTGAACTAAGAAAAAATACTTCCAGTGAGACCCTCAGTAACATATTTTATCACAATTATTGTCACTTTGTATGCTGTGCCGCTGAGTTATAGGAAACTGAAATTTCCCAACGAATGAAAAACAAACACAGATCTTGTAATTTAACACACATTCCACATTTTAGTACCTAAAACATCAAAATCTGTTGGTACACCAGAGTTGAAGGCTGGTCCTATCCCAGAAGGTTCTGCAGGCGTTTTGGTTCTCTGACCCACCAATTTGCCAAGATGTTCGAACCAGATGTCTGTCACCTGGAAATAATAATGAGTTCATGCCATTAGAATTGTGAAAATACATTCATAATAGTCTGGCACACAAGACAAGTGACAGACCAAATCATTGTAGCAAATTGCAATTTCCATGTAATTTGAAGTGAATACACTGCTAATGCAGCAGTCTTATTACTCCCTCTGACTATAGCCTGCCAGCAGACCCTCATTATCAGTACATTACCACAAGCAGTTCTTTGCCCATTGTAAAGTATGAGGCCTAGAGCAAAGCAAGCTAGCGAGAGGTCTCAAGGGGTCTAGCAACTGCTATTATCAATAACACACCCCCAGAAAACCTCACCCTGATTCATCTCAAATCTTCCCCTTGAAGAGAAACTTGTACCAAGCAGCAATACAACAAGGGCCTATTTTCTGGCTACTATGGCTACCACCAAACAACTTCAGGCTGCAATGTCTGTGAGTTGTAAAATACAAAAGAACACTATACATATTGGCTGATTGGCTACAAAAGCACCAATACTCTACTTTTCTCAAGCCTCATACTGCATTTATTGAATATGCCATCCTGGAAGAAGTGCTACATGTGAGACCAAAAACACTGATATGCAATACCCCTTAGTAAGTGCCCCAACAAGTAACGTGATGCTTCTGAGGAACTTAGCTTAGATTTAAATTTGGCTTAAACAGCCTTGGAAATTCCTCTTCCTCCAAAACCTCATAGTTAAGTTTGACTGTTTGAAACAGTGATGGTTTCCTTCCCTTCCATTAAACTCTTAAACTCAAATCAGCAGGCAGTGAGATCAAACTTTTGCAAACATGCAAAGAGCACTGGGCAAGAAGAGACAGCAGATGTAATTTTAACATTTTATATTTCTTTGTCTTTATTTTTCCAAGAAAAATAAATAATGTTATAAAAACACTCCATGACTTGCAAAAAATGTTTGAAATGCCACGATATTGGTCTTAAATAGAGTAAATACAGTCTAACAGTTTGACAACTCCTGGACTTTTTAACTCTATACAGTCATCGTGATATTGCCTTACTTGATTGTACAGAGAAAATGCTACATCCAACTTGTTCTGCCTGTAGAACACATTGGCCATGTGAAAATATCCACCAGAGGTCCTAATGTCATCTGTACCATGCACTCTGGATGAGTGATAGATCTACAAAACAATGAGTGGATATAAACATTGGAGGTTTTGTCAAAGAAAGGCCTTTGGGTCACACTTTCTGCATGAATCAAAATTGCATTAAAAAAAAATTATTGTTCAAAAAATTATTTTTGTTGTTGACTTGCATTTCTAAACAAATAAGAGTTTAACTCTTTACACTATATGCATATTCTCCATACTGTTCTCTATACATTTGTCAAGGTGCTAATAAGGAGAATTTGTTTAACAATCAAGCACTACTTCAGTTGGTGATCATTTTCTTTATTCTCATGATCTTAATGTTCAATTCAAGAGTGATATTGTACAGAGAAATTAGATGCTAGTCCATCCAAATGCTTATCTGGTGACTTGTCAGACTGTCAGTTAAACTTACATCATCAGCTAGTTGTGAGAGAGCATCAGGGTAGTTTCCCTGTGCCGCATACAGCAAACCCAAGTTCCTGAAGAGCTTTGACTTGATACTGTCTGGACATTCAGGAGTCTTAAGCACTGTCCACTGGGCTTGAGCTAAATACTCCTCTGCTTGAGATAACCGACCAAGACCTAAATACACATGTAGGATATCAACTTGTTAAAACTACAACTACTCTGATAAAGTGACAACAGACTCTTTTGCCATACAAGTCCTCTATAACTCAGTGCTAATGAGAGGTTAAAGCAAATCCAAAGGTCTCACATTTGATTCTTAATGATATACTTAGATTTCTCTTTTTTTCCAAGCTGATGAGAAAACAAGTAACATCTTTCTTTAATTTCACCAGTGACACTTTACCATATGTCTTATTCTATTGACTAAGTACACTATGCTTTGCAAACAATCATAACATTATTTTACCCTTAAATTTTTTATTGAGAAGAGTTGCTTTATCTCAAACTATTGAAAGAGACATTTGACTTGACTAAAAAATATTACCACAGCACTTATCAGCAAAGGTTGGAGCCTTAGAGTAGCCATGGCTTGTTTAGTCCAATCATCCATGTGAGAGTAGTCTTGTAAAGGAATGACATTTCAACAACCTGAACTGTAGTCATCATTTGAGTCACTGACTCCAAGCATGATTCCAATGATGACTTTTGCCCCCATTGTCCAAACACCAGTCATTATCACAAACATTATAGTTGTCTTTCAGGACTGCACCAATCCCCACAATCACACTACATAATTCATTATCTAACTTCAATAAAAGTACTCACCTATACTTGCCTCTCCCAGTATAAGGTATGAAGGGACAAGCTCAATGCTACTCAAGCCATAAACCTCAATAGAGAACTTTAAGGATTCCAGTGCTGCTGGAACTACTCTGTCATATCTACCTTCAAAGAGCAACTTTTGACCCTCTGTGCGGCATAATTCAATCATTTGTGTCTGTTTGAAGGAAACCAAACAGTGATTTATTTTTAACTTCTCCTTGCAATTCCACTTTTTCATCTTGCAAAAAGTTATGGAGAATAGACAAGCTTATATCAATCAAGGAGTGTCTTCAAGTTCAGTAAGGGGAAATACTAATTTGATCTTGGGACTTAAAGGGTTAAGATATTTTAACAATTTTGTACTTTGAATTCTTAAATGTTTTTCAATACCTTTCTGTTCAAAACAGTAACAAAAATGATGAATACCTGTCTGACTATTTGCTGTTGTTTCCTGTGCTGCCTTTCTTCTTCTGATCCAAGAAATGGAATGGGTGTTCGCAATGGAATTAACAACTGACATATCTTTTCATGAATTCCAAGCCAATCAGTTTTCTGATGCTCAGGACCACTGAAAAGGAACAAAACATGCAAAACTGCCATTTCATTTCAATTTCTACTTATAATTTTAACTTACTTATGCAGAGAGAAAAGAGCTTTCTTCACAGGTAGTTTACACACCAAGTATTATACACCAAGTAATAGTTCACAAGAATAGCTGCAGAAATCTTATAAAAAAAATAAGGAACATAGCCTAAAATGGATTTCAGGTCATATTGAGAGTCAACCACCCATTTAAATTGTTTGTTAAGTCTATAAATATTCCCATCAGATGGTCAACTTACAACACACTATAATCAATATTCACCTCACTTAAAATACATTTCAATTTTTAACTCCTGTGAGTGACCAAGACAGAATTTCTCCTTACTATATCTATACAATAATAAAGAAAAATATCAATTAAGGGATTAATAAATGATCCAATACCAAATTCTCCAAACTAACATAATGATAATCACTTAACAGACAGTAAGGAGAATTACTAATGAGATCTTGGGAGTTAAAGGGTTACTTTACAGTCATGCAGTAGTGCCAATCTACTCCTATGATGAATGCATTCTTAAAGATACGACACTACATTATTTCTACGACTAAATTACCGAAATACTTAAGTAAAGAAAGCACATGCATATCAAACTAGTTCAATTTGAAATTTTTATTATGAAATTATTTTCATCTACAACAAAACACCTTAACATTAAGTACCGGGTATATATGATGCATAACTAAACAAAAATTCAGTGGTCTTCAAAGAATTCCAATTTTTCTCCCAAGTGCCGCAGCACTAGTATCCTTGTTGCAAATTTCAAAAATTAATACCCCTCTAGTGCTGCGGTAAAATACTCCTCTAATAATGAAATTAAATCATTGGTATAGTGACCTGCGGGTGATGTACAAAGTAAAGATACTATCTTTGCAGATGAGCTACAATTAAAATAATCTCTGAAAAGAAGCCTGAAAAATTCCAGACTCCGATGTGCCCCCTATCTGTTATTAAGAACAATTTACTTCACTTAACAATTTAGAAATTTTAATTTCAAGAGCAGAACCTTTCATTTTAAACAGAGTAAACATTCAGAATTCAGCGCACAAGACATGAACTTACCAATAGTAAGTTACTCGGCAGTCCGTACATTGAACAAATGCTGGCTTCTGGCACAACTCACATAAAAGTTTGACACCCTTTGGGTTGGCCAAAGGATTGATCGTATTCATTTCTTTCGCAGCCGACAAATTTGTGAATAAAGTCCTCTCAAGTCCTAAAAGTCAACTTCACTCCGACCGCCATATTGTTTCGAGATGCGAAAGGTTTGTGAGGTTGCTAAGCAACCTCCCTATCACAGATTCAATGTCCGTGGGCTCATATGTTGACGAGATAAAATTTAACGGAGGATAGGATCGGTGGAAAAGGATTATGGAACTTACTTTTTCCAAGACCGGTAGGTGTTGCGCCGGGTTAATTGAAGAAAATATGCGTCACTTACCGTAAAAAACGCTAGAGCGAAGAATTTTTACATACAATGATTAACAGAAACATGCTGTAAGTGATAAGGTTAACGGGAAAGAAATTAATGAGGAGAGGGATTGAAAAACAGACTGATTCTCAATCCTCTTAGGTTGTCTGGCGCATTTTTCCCCGAGGAATTCTCATTGGATGGGATAGGAGAGAAAAGGAAGATAACGAAAGCCACCAACTCCCTAGTTCCTGCAAGATGTCGGGACGTGGGCGTTTAAATCATGGTTTCTGCATTTTGAACAGCTCATATATTAGAGAGGTTGGCAATGACGTTAATGCTGCTAGCGGCAGTCGGGAATAATTGAACTACTTGTCGTATTCTTTCAGCCGTTTGCACACTTAAGTGATAATACTTGAATTTAAAATGGTTTGAGTATCAGAGGAAAGTGAGCAAAATCAGAGTCTGTTATTTTATTTCAGTCGTTCCTGTAAACGTCAAGCTTAAATTTATTTCTCCACCGTTCATGATCCGCTTAGATAGGCTGGTCCCTTCCTGAACACAAAAAAATTATCAAGGAAACATACTGATTTTCCATGATTTTTTATTAGTTTTATAAAATTTTCTTTTTAATAAACTTAGCAATGAAGAAACCGATAGTATCTTCATTACACTGAGATCCTCCTGTGTCCGTAACATTAACTTTAGTCGGATCAAACCGCTGTACCAATTGACATTCATCATCTGAGAGACCACAAGTACGAAGACCTGGTCCTCCCAGATGAGGTGTCTGTAAGAAAAAGAAACAAAACGTCGACTAAGAAAAAGATTCCGAGCAGTTCATCCTTTTCGACAAAGTTCGTCGCGCAAGTCCAAAAAAAAACAGCCAAAAAAATTGTGTCTAGGGCGAGAGAGTTTGACCTCTGCGTTACGCTCGCAACACACTTCTCGCGCGCCTCGTTCCCAGAGTTCTGCGCGGCGTACTAACAACGATTTGTTATTGTCTATTTTTTCCCACTGATTTTTTTGGATTAACGCGATGAACTTCGCCGAAAGGAATTAAATCAGGTTTGTTATTTTCAATCCGTGTCAATCGTCTCCATTCTTGACCATCCTTGCTATCTTTGGCTGTATTCTTGCACCTAAGTATTTGTTGACCTTCATTGGTTACATTACAGGTACCGACAGCTTTCAAAAATTCCTCATGCAACCTCAAAATATTAGAACAGAGATCTTATAAGACACATGTTGCATGAAATATTTTCCCTTCACCCTTAAAAGACATGTCAAGCCCAATAACCCACAATTTCACCGAGACTAAGACGAGTTTCTGCAACGTAAACTGGGGCTGAATAGAGCACAAGAGACTAAATCACTGACTGGATAATTAGTCATAAATTAAAGAATGATACCTGACCTGTTTATCTAATTTCAAGCAAGGAAATGACTTCAGAGCCCAAGCTACTTGTTCTTCATTTTCTTGTGGAGTTATAGTACAAGTAGAGTAAACAAGTACCCCTCCTTCCTTTAATAACCCCACAGCCTACAAGAAAGCAACGGATAGGGTCAGTACAGGGGAAAAAGTAGACAAAATATACTATTTGCTCAGAGAGATTTTTAATCGAGTGTTAAGTTATAAAAGGTTTCATTTCTCTCATACAAAATGTTGCAAGACTGGTTTTTAAGGATCTCCTGAAATCGCCTTTCCTGGCAAGTTTGCTAAAGCATCCTTTTTCGTCTCAACTAATATAAAGCAAATTACTTTCATAGATAAAACCGTTCTCGAATCAGTTTCAGCCGTTCACAAAGTCGCGTATTTACTTGAAAATACCAACATCTTGATGAGCTTTTGCTTACATTCCCCCTATAAAAAAACGCTGGAAGACAATGGTAAGAGCACCATTATGCGACGCTTTCCTCCAAACCGTTTTCAAAAGCTTCGCTTTCATTTAAGTAAAAGGAGCGTTTCCAAAACGATGCGTTTTCATGACAACCCATAAAAAGCCAGAGTGCTTTTATGAAAATGGAGAGTTTCGAAAATGGGTTTAGAGGCGAAGTCTTTCATAAACACCTCGTTTTTTGTATAAACAGGCCGAAGTTTCTAGAAACGGTGGCGTTGCGTCGATAAGGAGTATTACAAGATAATAAATTGGGGTTTTATTAACTGAGTTGATAATGTAGATTGGCCAACACCCTTTAAAGCTGAAGTTTCGAGCGTGGACGAGGATTTAGATATATTAGCCCACTGCCTACGTAGTTACAACCAAGCGCGAGATGAGTAGCCATACAAACAATGAAAGGACCGTTGGTCAAATGATGACAGCGTCCGATGGAAGATGGTTACATGTATCATTATCAGACATTAAAAAAAAAATTAATGAGACAATTTAAGTAACAGTAAACGATCCTTTAGGTGTAATTATTTTTTTCAACTTACAGTTGTAAAGAGTTTTCTTTGTAACCTCGGATAAGACTGTAACTCTTTTAAAGTCATTCTGACGAAAAACTGAGGACGCTGACCCAAAGCACTACAAGGCGCATCGAGAAGAATGCGGTCAAAACTACCACACGGGTAGGGTGGGGACGTCGAGAGAAAAGCTAAACAGAAAGCGAAGGAGGATTAATGTAAATGCGATACTCATTCACGTAAATAGTATTATGAGGTACACCTTATTTGTTCTTGATTTATTTTCAGTGCACTCTGTGATTGGTTAAATAAACTCCAGCCACACTCTTTACCACTTAGATGAAAGAAAACAGTATTCTATTTAGAAATATCATCGGTTCACTGCATTTCTCCCTTTTTCCTTTATATTCTGTGATCAGCCGTTGATTGGGTTTCTCAAATTACTTTTTGTCCAGACTTTCCACAGTTACAAAAGACAACACTACAGCTCAGCTTAATGTTACCACAATGATAGGCACTTTGTTCCATTTCCCAAATTACAACCAATTGTCCAAAAATTGTATTATTTTAGAAAGCAACATACACTTACTGTTTTCTTCACCGTAATGTTTCTCAGAGTCGAGAGACTTAACACCATCATATATAAAACTCTTTACACATTGGATACCAAGCTTTTCACAGTTTGCTCTCAGTTTGGCTACTTTTGGCTCACTCTTGTCAAAAGCAATTACCACACCCTTAAAAAAAACAGAATAACAACCTAACTTTCTTTAACCCTTTTACTCCCAAGATTTCATCAGTAATTCTCCTTACTGTCTGCCATATATTTCTTCTGATGTTAGTTTGGAGAATTTAGTATTGGATCAACTAATAATCCCCTAATTAAGATTTTTATTTATTCTCATCACTTGTCTGCTTGATATTGTATTGATATTGTAAGGAGAAATCCTGTCTTGGTTCCTCATGGGAATTAAAGGGGTAAAATTAATCTTTACACAATTCAGAAAAGGGACAGAGGATAAAAGTCTTAATTGTTAAATACCCATGACCCCAACTGTCAATTCAGAAACATGCAATGTCCTAAAATATGTTTAACTTAGGAGGACAAAGAGTTGACATAGGAGGCAATGCATTTGAATAAAAGAAGATTCAACCAAAAACATATTTCAGAGGTATTTGGCTGTCACTGCCTATCACTGACTCATCAGTTCTTTGATTTAACAATTTTCTTAGGTGCAAACAAAGAAAAAGCTAATGCTACACCTAATCACTAAAATATTTTTTTTTTTAAAAGCTCACCTTGTCTCCCATGAGGGAGGCCACATGAGTGGTTTTTCCACCTAAAATAACAAATGTAAGGCAATGTAAAAACACTCTGTACATTCTAAAACAACTTCAACTATTTTGCTTGAAAGAGCTTCTTTGTCTTTGTTATAACAGTAAGATTGTTAGTAGGTGTATACAATAAAGTAATTGTCAACACAGGAGTGAGTTGGTAGCATGCTCCCAGCTGTTGGCTATGATTCTTGCATATAATCACATATCAAAGGGGTATGGAAAGCACACTTTTCTCATGACCAAAAGGTCTGAGTTCAACCCAAGCTGGGATATTGTTCTGTAGTCTCCAGCAAGACAGTTTAATCTCACACTGCCTCTCTTCAGAATTTTCCATGGTATGCATGTCATCATGACTAAGCATTCTAGAAATTTCTAGATATGTATTTTACAGTTATTATCCATAACACTGTCACTAGGTATTAATAACTTTCTAGGAAACTTGATAAAATGCTTAGAGGGGGTAGGGGTTAGCCATGATGGACTGGCACTCATTTCTGGGGAAGGGTGGGCAAATTCCCATTCTCATCAAAATTAAGACATCAGGATTAGCACTGATAACAATGGGCAATCAAGTGTTTAAGACCTCAAGACTTAATATAACCCATTTCCAAACTAAAAGGTGGCAGTGGTTTGTCTATTTTACCTGGAGCAGCACACATGTCTAAGATGACTTCACCAGGTTGAGGGTCCAACATATGTCCAACCACCACAGACGGCAAGTTTTGAAGGAACAGCAGATGAGGAAGCACTCCCCCCAGTGATGGACAGCTGAACAAAGGAGATGTCATATGAACTGCCACACCACTGGAAAGAAAACAAAGATGCAAATTAAACAACCTCTAAGGCTTATCCATGCCTAAAAAATCCAACAGTAATGAGGCATCATTGCCCTAACCCTTCTGCAAATGAGTTCACATAGCAGATAAGGCATCTACCTCAGTCTTCCATGAGAAACACTACAACAAATCATGCAAGAAAATAAAGGTAATCTGAATTGTTACATGTTTTAACATGCTCTCTGGATTGACAGTTAGCAAAGAATTCACAAAAAAAAAGTCAAGTTTGTCATGATGAGAATTAAAAAGACCTCTAACTGTAGCCAAAACAATTACCTCACATGTTCTTGTGAGCAGAATAGATCTTTCCTGGCAAGGACAGCTGTTCCATTTCCCAAAAATACCCTCTTACCATTGTAATGTTTGGTAAGACCTTTACGGCATTTCCCTTCCAGATCGGCATAAACTGAGACTGTGTCTCCACTTTCCATGCCTATAAATGAATGTTAAATAAAAGTAATTTATCACATTCCCACATCATAATGCTATCCATTCTAACTGCATATGTCTCTGTTTCTGCTATATTACTGTACATACAACGCCACATTAAAACCAGCCTGAGGAAAGGTTTAAGAGAGAATGAAAATAACATGGCCATATGAAAGGGATTTATCCAGGTATACATAAATTTTAAGATTTTCAAACCAAAAGAGCTGCCAGAGCTAGTAAGGAAAATAGTTCCTCCTCTTAAATCAGGCACTATCTACCACAAGAATCTCAGCATTTTTTCTGGTTTCCCAGGGCATTTTTCCCAATATCCCTAACTTTGAGTCCCATTTGACCCTTTACACACTAAGATCAGTATGCAGATTCTCCATACTGTTTTCTATACAGTTACAAAGAAACTTTCAAAGAGAATTTGTTTATCAATCAAGAGCTTCTTCACTTGAAAATTATTTCCTTAATTCTTATAACTTTATTTTTAATTCAGTGGTGATACTGTAAGGAGAAACTAGATGTTAGTCACTCTTTAGGGTCAAAGGATTATTGGAGCTCTCTCTCCCCTGTCTCTCTCTGAGGTACATGCCTTATCTTAAGATGTCTTGGGGAGTTACATGTAAATACTCACCAGGGTGAGCTGCCATGACACCAGGAGCAAAGATATCTGCCCCTCTAAGTATTGCAGCCCCACAGTTGGAATCAACAATAATCTCCTTTACAACTGGTACAAGATTAGTGTCTGGGCCAAATCCATGGATTAGCAAGACATCGTTCAATTGCTCATGCAGGATCATTTTGTAATGATGTTGTCTTGCTTCCTTGCCCTCCTTCAATCAAAATGCAACTTATTTGTTATAGTACAACATTTATTTTGATAGGATGCAGTTCTTGCTTTTATCAATTTGAATGATCCTTTGTTTGCATGTTTTACCTTATCTCATTCAAGGAGTAAGATGTATATTAAGCCCCTAACTCCCCCTGGGTGACCAAGACAGAATTTCTCCTTATAATATGTATTTGACACCACACAGACAAGTCATGCAAATAAAGATAAAAAGGTAGGGGATTATTAGATGATCCAATATCAATTTCTACAAACTAACATTAAAAGAATTGTATGAGAGACAGTAAGGAGAATTACAAATGATATATGAAAGTACAAGGGATATGTTACGCTTATTATGTTTCAGCTCCTAGTGAACCTAAATAAAGTGATACCCATTTTAATTTAAACCAAATCCAACTCTGAAAGTAACCAATAAATACTTGTGAAGAATCAAGCAATGGCACCTCCACCAAGGAGATCCTCTGATTCCAAGTTGAATTAGGATTTGAAGGAATGTCTTTTGTCAAGTGAAGAAGCAAAAGAACCGAAAAATGCACTCAAAGTAAGGTTAAGAATGAAAAACAAACCAAACACATTTGTGACATCAGGATTTAGGAATTGAACCTGGGCATGGATTTAGATGCTTTTACCACTGTTCTATCTCAGCTTTGGGGGAGACCAGCCCTTGTAACCTACCCACCATCACTGTTATGTTGGCTATTAAACCTAACCAGGGAAACATTGTCACATCCATATACAAGATCTTTAACAAAACATCACCAAGCTTTACCTACCTCACTGTTGTAAAAATATTTTTTTTACATTTTATAGAGAAAATAACCAAGGGGCTAGCTACTCAAAATAAGCTTAGCTCTCACATACCTCCTCCAAAATCTTCTGTAATTCCTGCTGTGCATCTTGAACTGTTGTCTTCAGAGTATTAACCCTCACAACAGTGTACAAAGGTGGAGTAACAAGTGCCTTCAGTAGCTTATCAAATCCAGTAGTACTATCACTCACATCATGTTCCTGTCTTAACAGAGAAAATTTGCCTTTCAGAGCTTTATTTAGGATTTTTCATAGGTCACTGTCTAAGAAAATTACATGGTGCTAGGTATCACCTACAGTCAGCAAAACCTTAACTTGACAGACCTAACATCAGTATGCATACTCTTCACACTGTTCTTGGTACACTTTGTAAGGGGTTGGCAGGGAGAATTTGTTTAACAATCAAGAGCTTTTTCAGTTAGTGATCATTTCCTTTGTTCTTCACGATCCTAATGTTTGATTCAGTTAGAATGTTTGTTAGAAGAAATTAGATGCTAGTCAATCTCGAGGGTCAAAAGTTTAATGAGTAAATGGCAAAGTTGGCTCGCCATGGCTGTTCAACAACCCCAAGTACTTCATGGGTCTACAGTTACTCTGCCTCGTAACATTTCAAAAAATGAAATGGAACAGTGAGAAACTGAATTAAAGGGAATGGGTATGCGATTAACAGGCCTGGAGTGAAAAAGGTGGGGTGTACAAATCGATAGATTAGGATAAAGGCACCACAGATGAGCTCCCAGGAGCAACCATTAATAGGACTCCATACTACAACAAAGCGCATAGCCCTAGCATTAAAGCTTTCTAATATATCGAGCATACCCCCGATTATTGAAAACGTTTTGTTTCACCAGTGAAGCAAACTATCGGGATCGTCTAAAAACTGGCCACTACCTTCATAAAAATAATTTCTTACTTCTCTTGATTCTCTCTAAATTACTATATCTAGAGCAAGATTGACACGCCTTTAATTACCTTTAAAAGACACAGCGAACTTCTCAAATAGTCCTCAACTTCTGGAACTGAGAAGGTCAGCTTTGTAAGACCGTACGACATGCTAAATATCCGCCATGTTTTCTTGATTGGTTCCCAGGTTCTAAAGATCGGCCCTCCGTCCCCCTACAATCCCCGACCCTCCCATGAGCAAATTTCCCACTTCAGCTGGCAGTAGTATTCTTTTAAAAACATAAACGTGTTATGTTAACCTCATTTTTAAATAAAAATTATACCTTTTCTGCACATGTCTACGAGGCTAGGAGGGTTAATTTTTCACGAATATGAAAAGAGCAGCAACTAAGCCCGTCATTTGTAAAAAGAGGTGTAATCTTTTAAATGAAGATTCAAAATCACGGTAACTTTGTCCTCATTCCGCTTATATAACTTCTGAAATTTTCCTTTCATGTCATAGTAAAGCTTATTCATTGAAATGATCATGTAATGTAGTGATTGGCCATTTTCCAATTACGGAGAAAAAGATAAACTTTTGAATAAGTGCTGGTGACTGGGGCACACATTACACTATTATGTAATCGTTGACTACGGAAATATGTCAATTTATAACCGGAAAGTACACGCCCAATTAGTTATCAATCCGAAGCAATGTGATTCAGGTTAGCCTACTTTGTGAAACCTGTGACTGTTCATCAAAGTTATAAGATTGAATCTGTGACCTTCCTTGGATGCTGACTTTAGCGGCCGGATAAATTTAGGAAATAGAGGAATGAACCGTTAATTGAATGTTATAGGCAAATTAATCATAATTGAGAGCGAAATGAGGTCCCACAATCCTCACATTTTCTGCAGCTTACTTTCTCAAGAAATTTCTAAAAAGATATATGAAAAAAGAACCTTTTAAATGCCTAGTGCCTTTATTTTTTCTCCACCAAGAGGGTGGCAAAGGTGAAGTCCTGACCAGATTTACTCCCGAATTTTAGATTCACGCATCACGTACATTTTAAACAGCATTTCAGGCTTTACAAATTAAAAAGGCCGGAAAAACTTTAAATATCTCTTCTTGTGTGCGAGGTTTTAGGGAAATCTCAAGGTTTTCAGTAAAGAGGAAACAATTGATGGGTCACGTCTACTTCCGAGGCAAATCACACCTCACGTTGTTTCATAAATATTCACGAATCACACTCGCCTTTGTGTAAAATTCACGTGTCACATATCAATGTTGGCCTAAGTCAAGCGTCACGCGTACACCTTTGCTACCCACCAAAGACGATTCAAAATTTCCTCAGAAGACGTTAATCACTCTGGAAATTCAGTCTGAAAGCAAAACAGAGTAAATGGTTGGTGGAAAGCTACCTTAATGAAGATTGACAATAGTAATGGCTTGACATCACTACTTTGAAAATGGAAGCTAGTAGCGTGATTTTTCCAATGTTGTTCTGAAATAAGGGAACGTGTTATTAAGATTGACATTTTTGAAGGCGTGTCGCCTAAATGTGTTTTTCATTAAACACTACGACAAAAATAGGTTTATATTACACGAGGAAAGAAATCAATGGAGACGAAAGGTAAAAGCGAACTGGTCTTCAGTCAAAATAATTGTGTAAGCGAGAGAGGGTTTGTTGTTCTAATAAAATCAGTTTACAACACTAGAACATTTGATTTCATATGGCAAAATCAACAACACTAGGTTCTGAGCGTTGTATGTTTTTTAGCATAAATATTGATCTAAGAGTGTCCTATTTGAAATATGAATGAGGGTCATGATTAAGGGTCATAAATAACACATAGTTTCACGACCTTGTACGTGGTGAAAGTAAGTGACCCTGAAATTCGACCCAAAAGGCACGTGCATCTCTTTATTGAACACGTCTAGGTAGGTCACAGAGTCAATAAAAACTAAATAAATCAATTAAGAGGTCACTAACAGTAGATATTCCGGCTCTCCTAACCAGCAAACGTCAATAATCAAGATTAATCCTTCCTGAAAAACTTATCTACAAATTGCGAAATGTTACCAGTCAATGATTCAATTCAAATACATAAGTTCAGTTACTAGGATAATAGTACATGCATTGTTTCTTTTGAGCTAGGGTATAATCTGAATGAAAGAGAACAAATTTCAATTTAAAGAACAATTTTGGCTGAGGAAAAAGTACACAATGGAATTTTAATTTTCAGTTACGCTCTTGTCCTCTGACAACGTCGCACGCGCTTTCGATTAAAGCAAAAGATGTCACGGATGACGTCACGAAACAGTCGTCGCTTTTATTCAAGGTATTTCCGCTGGCTGTGAATAACCATCTTCGCTTCGGTGAACGTGAATCGATCATCAAGTGTTGTGTCTCGTTGAAAATTTGTCATTTTTGTGATCAGTCTTTTCGGCTCAACTATGGCTCAATTCGAAGCCCATGAGAACGATGTAACGGAACAAATTAAAACAATCGGGTCGAACGAACCGGCATCGAAAGGTTGGCAAGCATTCCAAGTCGTATTTTGGACGTGGCTGACGGTGGTGACTGTTGTTGGGAATTCTTTGGTGCTTCTGTGTATTGCGTTTAAAAAGCGACGAAATTCGTCCATGTTTAAGTTTTATGGGAGCCTTGCCTTGGGAGATCTGATCGTAGGTGAGTGAAACATAAAGGGTAGGTCATAAAGGGTTAACTAATGATGGCAAAATTTTTCGTCACATGTCTAATCGAGAAGTTAATGATTTGTTCTTCGAATTACAACAGCGGCGCAAATAATTTGCATGCAGAGCTAGTAAACACTTGAATAATATACCTGCTCAATCAATTAAGCCGCAAAACCAAAATTTCTTATGCTAACGTAATTTTTTTCAACCCCGTATTCAGCTGTACTAAACTATTCTGTAAAGATAGTGCATTATTTACAAAGAAAACGGCACGCAAACTACATCAGTCAATTACGAAAAAATACTAAAATTCCTTACATTCTGAAATTTAGATTCTAAAAATTACCTCCATTAATTAAATCAATATTTTTCATTTATGGAGATTACTCACTATCATAGCTTTTTGGAAGAAATATAAAAATATATAAATTTATTAATGATCTACATGGTTAGTTTTTATTGTGATGAAATTCATTAGTCATATTTCCGATGTTCTGTTTCGCAGCAAGGACATTTTCCAGATTAGAAAACCACGCTGCCGCTTGACTTCCTTTGATAATTGGCACTAGTAAATATTATCTTTCACTCTAAGTAAATAATTGTACGAAATTCAAAAGGTTGAATACAAACAGTAGTGTTTAGATGTCAGATCCTTTCTTATTTTAATTTATCTGACTGAATAGAGTTTCGTGACCTGTGCCCTGTCTATCGATATAAATCATACGTCTTTTCTTTTTTTATGTAAACCAATGGAAATTATTTTTTTTGCTTTTTTGAATCTAGAGCAGCTTCCTCTTGACTTTCTCAAGGAAAATAATTAATTAAAACTCTGGAACGTTTAGCTAAAGAATCGGCCATAAAAAATTACCTGGTGACCTTTAGACTTAAAATGGTGTATAACAGTTTCAGGATTTCCGAGCTCACGTTCTCGCCTCGGGGGCTTTCACGTACACATTTTGCACAATTTTGATCTATCTTCGTCCTCACCTTATCACAAATCGTCCCTTGAAAACCAACCTTAAACAAAAATAACTTCAGTTGAAAATATCTGCCATCATTCTGAAGAATAGTTTTGAAAAATTCTTGAACTTTACTACAAACATTTCTTTTGTGCTTGTTTCATTTTAAGACTCGCGCTTACTGTCTGGTATGATATCGGATTAGTTTCATAAGTGACGTCAGCAGATCACGTTTACAACGACACGTAACGCGTACGTAACGCCATTTTAAAACACAGGATTTTCCCTTGCGCGTTGTTTCCGTGCACTTTGCGCACATTTTCGCCAGCGATAGAGTCGAAGTTGGAGTCGGAGTTGAAGTCGGAATCGCGAAAGGGCTCACGACAAGGCGCAAACGGAAGATCGAAATCGAAAGCAGTCACCATAGATATACTACATTCATAACAGAGTCGGAAAAATTAAGCCATCTTCATTTCCTCCGGTACTGCGGCGCCTTATTTAAGACTATTGTTGGAGTGGCAAGCAGAAGCAGTAGAATCCAGCAATCACAAGCCAAGCCAAGCATACACTTAACCTTGCAATAGATTCAAAAGTGACGTCGGTTTTCTCCTTCTAAATCCTTGGGTTTGATTTTCACTGAATCGTATCCTTCTACATTGCACTTCTAATCACGACTCTGACTAAGACGCTCTCGTTGGTGCAACCAGCCTTAAGTTCGAGTAGCTGGTAGAAGGAAGCGCCGAATCGGCGTCAAACATGACTGCTTGTGTCGGTGTGAAGGCGTAATGACCGCGAAAAGAAGTCAGCGCGCGAGGGAATTGCGGTTCCACCTCTTTTACGTCCCCACTACCGACACCTGCGTGGGCAACTTTACAATGGCTTGATGACATGCCACACCGAAATTGAACGTCATCTGATTTATCGTTGTTGTCAGATGGACGTCATCTGATTTATCGTTGATGTCAGATGGTCAATCAATACCCAAACACTCATACACACACAAACACACACACACACACCACAAATGATATGCACTTCCAAAGTGGCGCGTTTCTATATAAATGGCTTATACCATTATTGGATCGTGATTCGAAAATTTTTTTGTTATTGAGTAATGCTACACGGTATCTCCGTCAGTAGAGTTGCGATATAGTTCAGAGATAAGCTGTAAGCTCCCTGAATGAACCGGCCCTAATCTAGTACGCGTACGCATTTTCTAATGGGAAATGGGATATGGGTACTAGATTAATATTTTTATGAACGAAACAAAAGGGTGCTTTTCCTTTTCGGCACAAACTAAACAGTTTCCATATCTCTTTCCAGGGATTTTTTGCGCTCCCCTTCTACTAGCAGCAGCATGCCGCCAGCAGTGGAAGATGGGAAACGCTCTGTGTTACGCTTACTCCACTGTGATTTCATTGTCTCTCAACGTCTCCGTCATGACTTTGTTTCTAATCAGCTTAGACCGCTTAAACGCCGTTTCAAAGCCTCTCCAGTATAGAGCAAAAGAAACCTTCACGCAGAAATGGGCATTATGGCTCATTCTCTTCACCTGGCTACATTCCATATTCTGGGCAGCGGCGCCCTTGGTGGGCTGGGGAGAGATAATCAATGACGAAATTACCAACTCCTGCAAGCCTAACTGGTCAGCGAAAGGACTCAAAAATGGTACGTACTCCATGGGATTAGCAGTATTTCCCTTCGCTATTCCTGTGTTGTCGATGATAGTTGTGTATATAATGATATATTATAGGTCGAAAGTGAGCAATCGTTTCATCAGAAATAGATCACAGACCTTAGCCGATGAAGAAAAAAAGCGACGAAAGCAACAAAATGCTATATTACGGACAGTGTTAGTAGTCGTGGGTATGTTTGTGTTTTGTTGGCTACCCTACACCATCGCTACCATGTTCAAACTGTTTTTCCGCGCCCTTCCACCCACGTGGTTAGTTCATCTGGGTTTAATGCTTGCCACTGCGAACAGTGCGGCTAACCCCGCGATATACTCAGCATTTGATAAGAGTATGCGGAACGAGTTCAAGCGAATGTTACTCATTTGTCGCAAAAAACGGGACACGCTAGAAGAGGATGGGGTGCGAAGTCGGCGAACCAGCTCAAACATGGCTACGTGGAACTATACGATCACAAGAATAAGCGACGAAACTGTCAACAAGATTATTAATAAGGATACGAAGGAGATGAACGGTAATAATTTACCAAGAAAACAAACGATGACAGACTCTTACAACAATATGATCGAGTTGTTCGTTAAGGACATCGGTCAAAAATGGGAAAACCCCTCGAGAGAGACTTGGGTATAGATATCTGTGTTGTGGATGTTTATATGTAAGAACACATTTGTGAAACAGACAGGGATCCCCGCCGGATCCTCACGGAGCCCATCCTCCATTTGATGCGCCGATCGACAATCATCCGAAATTCACGGAATATTGGAGTACATTGACTTCTCCTTAGTGTGAGATGCCACCATCATGTGCGATGTGTTACTTTGCCCCTTGCTTCTACAACAACTTGTATTCATTTTCACCTAGTGGAGAGTTAGCCCAATTATTTTTTACGGTATATGCCATTGACGGCGCATATAGGCGAAAAACTTGCTTTCATATTGACGCTTTCTATCACGTACCAGACAGAGCTAAAACGCCTTTACGTGCATCACGAGATCGCGCTTAATAAAATTGTTGCAACACGATAGTGGAATTTAACAAGAAATGTAAAGTAGTGAGGCTTTCTGTTCTTCATAAGACGAAGGTAGAATGTTTAAGCTTGGACCTTACACTACAGACCGTCCTAAAACAGGATCTCAAAATATATTTTGAGCAGCACAGGTTAACCGAGAATTATTAGTTCAGTCGCAAAAACGAAACGGCAAAAAGCCCTATAAGTACCCGGTTTGTCGGAGCAGTACATTGACATACACACAAGTTCCACAGTTCTGCCTCGAATCTCTGTTTTACTTACTGCAATTACTGTAATTAAATAGTAAATATATAGTCAGACTTCAAAATTTCACGCAGTGAAATTTCATATAAATATATTCTAAAGACTGTAACAAGGTTAAAGCTAACATTGTAAATATTTGTTTAAAATGAAAATGAAGGTATTTATTTTATTTAAGTCAAAAGAGATTATAGGGACAGAAACGACGAATTTGTGATACGAAGTAGAATCATATGGAATTACTAGAAACAAACAAAATATAATAATGATGTATCAACTTATCCATTACCCTTAAATAAAGAAATATTAAATAATGATCTCGAACAGTTTATGTTTCGTTCTTGTATGGAAGAATTTCATAAAAGGAAATAGGGCTTAAACGACTGGTGGGAAAAGAATTAGAAGAGCTCACTTCGATGGCTGTCGTAAAACAAAAACAAAGTCATCAGCCAATTAGAGCAAAGGAAATATTACAAGGAGCCAATGAGAGGTCAAAAAGAAAACAAGCAACCAGGCTGAAGCGGGGGAAAACAGAAGCTGCCAAGTCGTGGCTATTTTATACCCCATTCACACCAGCAAAACATGTTTTGTTAAACTGGTTTTCATTGAATGAAAATTATAAACAAAGAACTGAAAAACTTGATTTTCCATTGGATTCAAGTACTTGCTAACTTGCATTTCCAATGTGCTACATTCAAGTCAAAAATATTCGGTTAAATAGTTTCTATGAAGAAAAAAAAAATTAAACTGTGTTTAACAAAACAACTTTTAAACATGTTTAAGCTTTGGTGTGAATGGGGCATTAGTTTTTTACCTATAATTGGTTGAGAAACCTTTCCAGACGGTTTCTCTACCATCTATAGCGCAAGTTTCTATAGCAATCTGTGAGCATACTAAAGAAAAACCAAATCTATGTAGAAATTTAATTCGAAAACTCCTGTGCAGAACAGCAAGAAAAGACGCGCGTAAAATGACGAGGTAAAAGCGCACAGAATAGTCTAGACAACAAGTAAGTTTCCCTTCCAAAGTAATTCCAATTAGAAAAACAAGTATCGTTCTAACTTCCGCGTGCGTTTACCGAAATCTCGCCACATCAATTGCTAAATCCCTCAATTTACAGAGCTACTATGTGCAATGATTCAGCCAAACGAAAAAACTGAGAAAAATACAGAAAGACTCCAATGTTCTTTAGCCTATAATTCATTATGTTTGCCCTGTGATTCGGTCTGTTGACTTTTTAAAACATCATCAAGTCTTTCCTGTATAAAATCTCTCACAGACTTGTCCAGTTGTTCCGAATGTTGTCCAAGAAATTTGTTAAAATCTTCCAAGGTTTTATCGTCTCTCAAGAGGAACTCCTCGACCAAAGGAGGCTGCTTCTCCACAGATTGTAATAGTGTAGTAACTCTATCGTCACGTCGCCGAGATTCGCCACGGATATTTACCTGAGAAGTAATGACATGGGCAAATCAGAGCAAAGACAAATTTGCGAAACGAGCCAATGAGAACTCAGAGAAAACTAAAGTAGCTGGTTTAAGTGCGGGAAAATGCAAGTGGTCAAGTCCTTATTTTTTTTCTTTTCAGACTTTCGTTGTTGGCTGGGGCATGTAGGGAGATTGCATGAGTTTTCTACACCAATAATAAAGAGTACAAAAACAACACCAAAGAAATCACACTACAATGGACAATTGATTGAAAAGTAATCAAAATACATGTACTATTTAAAAAATTACTCATCATGCATTCTCAAACACAAGATAATGTGGTTTTATCAACTGAGCTGATAATGTAGATTCGCTTTGCCAAAAGGCTAACGCTCGACATGTCATCTTCAGAAACTCTTTACGGAGGTCAATTTACATTATCAACTCGTTTTATTCCCCCACCAACGCATCACCACACTTTCCTTATAAACTTGTCCCCTTAAGTCTCTAATATAGTTTGCTGAAAAAACCCTATCGGATTAGCAAGATAAATATCTGATTTTGCTGTTTCAAAGAGTCCTGAATTTCGTGAAAAAGATCCTAAGAGATAGAGTTTCCACGCTTGTAGCGAGAACGGAATGTGATTCCTACGCTTTTAAATGACACAGTCGCAAATAGTTGCTGATCAAAGATAAATAAAATCTCATTCCCTGTCCCTTACCTCTCCAGGCAACGTTTGCCCGAAAGCCTCATCTACCACGTCGGCAGGTACGGACATGACGTTATCTTCTGTTAGGTAACCATCCTGGTCTGTATCAAGTAGCGAAAACCGCTGCATGATACAACAGGGGAAATTGGAGGTTAGTAGAGCGATTCAGATTTCTGTAATAGTTCGCAAACGTGTATAAAAAAAGGTCAAGAAGTGTTTGTCTGAAAGCCTCATTACTCAAATGCCAAATACAGAATAATCTTTTGGCAGACATCAAAAGGTATGGTAAAAAAATTGCTGAGCTTTTGGAAGCTATTATTATGATTTACCGTTTTTGTTATGAGTCTTTCTCCGGTGTGCTCTCCCTAGAGGAATATCAAAAGGTAAAGACAGTCAAATACAAAAATAAGTCTTTATATGCTCAGTTAGGCACTGCATGATAAAAACGGTCGTTAAGACACGGCATAGTACACTAAGCTTAACAAAGAGACAAAGTTTGCGAGCCACTGCAAAGGCTAGTCGAAAGAAACAGAACAAAAAACAAAGGGACAGTAGGAATTCAAAGAAAAAAATTATGAAAACGCCAGTGATCAAGTCGTGACCTGTTTTAGTAATGTAATATGATCTGATTGGTTGAGAGGGTGTGCGGTTGGTTAAGGCCATTCACTGAACCGAAAAAAGCAAAGCCAAATGAAAACAGTATGTACTTACCACAATCAAAGGATTGATAACATTATATGTCATCATTCCATAGTGTTCTTTTATCACTTTAAGAAGCATAAATCTGCAATGCAGTAAGCAGTAGACTAACTTAAGGTAATGCTAACTTGGGTTACATTCAGCCCAAATTTGTCAACTTTACAATTCAAATTCAAATTTCTTTTAACCCACTTTCCCTTTTCTTTTCATTCTCTTTTTCCCTTTTCAAAATGACAGATAGCGATACTCATTCTATTACTAATTATCTTAGAGATCTGCTGGTGCAATTTTTATGTTAGGCTGAATTAACCCTTTAACTGCCAAGATCTCATTAGTAATTCTCCCTACTGTCTGACATACAGTTCTTGTGATGTAAGTTTGGAGAACTTGGTATTGAATCAACTTATGATCCTCTAACTGATATTTTACTTTATTCTCATCACTTGTCTGCTTGATATTGTATTGACATTGTAAGGAGAAATTCAATCTTGGTCACTCATGGTAATTAAAGGGTTAAGTGCTCATTTTGATTGGTTCTTATTTATATTGGAGGACAGATGCATTGATGACCTCACGACTGATGACAATTTGCTTTTTCATCATATAAAACAAATAGATTTTATGTTGCCATGGGTCTGTTCCATAATAGATCACAAAGGATGGCAAAATGAGGCAAGAAAATCAGTGACACCCTTGGCTGCACCTAGTATGCCCTTTTTTTTTTAACCTCATCTGTGATCTTGCTATTACTGAACAGGGAATCTATTTGTAAGACAATTAACCCAATATACTCACTACATCTAAGTAAAGAGGCAATGGAAATGGATGGAAATGCTGGTCATCTCACTCAGGGGAAACAATTGCATATTTTGTTATTTCTTAGGATGCTAAGGACTTAATAGAACTAGTTTTAAAAGGAATAGTGACAGGAAATGCTGTTTAGTCTGTCAGGTCAATTTGAGAGGAATCATTTCATGGGGGGTATCTACCACAGAGGAGATTGGTTCTCTTTTCCAAGGAGTTTTCCTTCTCCTTGGGAAATGGTTTTTACACACCTTAGCTGCTCTCCTGTTGTGAACTTAAAGTTACTCAACTTTGCTTTTGATGAATCTCCATTTTCTGAATTTACTGTTGATGAAGGAAAGAACAGAGAGGATTTACATACATCATAGTTGTGAAGTATGTAAATTATAACATGGTATAGATGTGTGAACCCATCATTTGGAGTCAAAAGAAAAACACAGGCATAGCTATCCTATGTTAGGGCTATTTGTAAACTGCTCATGGCTACCTTCAACTGTTTTTCTCTTTTGTTTTCTTTGGCTCACAAGTCACTTTCGATTGAGATTTTAATTTGTTGGCATCATTTCAATTCTATTCCAAAAGTAACACAATCATGAAAACACTTGTTCTTTTGGGCAAAGCATCCATCACAACAGTTTACAGCACATCTGTTTTTACCTTCACAGTCTGTTGAATTAAATCTGCTGAATGGTGTCCACCAAATGTTCACAGCAATGTTTCGAAACAATGATGTTACTTGATGAGCCCATCTAAACAAAAAAAATTATAGATTCAAAAAACTCATGAGAAGAAGTCATCCAAGTTGCAGACATCTGCACTGTGAAAAAGGCTACAACAAACAAATAAAAATCTGCCAGCTAAATATACAAATGAAGGCAGGAATGTTACAAGAAATTTCAAGTGTGAGGTAGGGGAGCAGAAAAACTGAACAAGTCAGATTCAAATCCTGAGGAAGCACCTGGGAGATCTTTGGATGAGAAGAATGCTATTATAACATTCTGACCCTGCTTTTGGATAAGTCACATGCTATCTGTAAATCTCACTGCCCCATAGTGGCCTATCAAAGACAGAAAAATAATCATAGGATCCGTATCAACCTTGCCATGTCATATTAATACTCATCAGGTTGAAAAGTTGATTTAGGATCAAGAAAAAATGAAAGAATTTCAAATGTAAACCATATGTGTCACAATATTAACACCCTGTTGAAAACTGTGGTTTTAGAAACACACCCAGTTCCAAGAGGCTGATCAGTGACATTACTTGACTTGGTTAGATTCAAGGCCTGAAAGCAAACCACTTTTTGGGAAGTACAGACTCAGTATCATGCCATGGAAGAAACTTCTCACCCATATGGTATAAAAAGACAATCCCCTGGCTCCAGACGTGCTGACCACCATGGAAGATTTTGCAAACTTGGATACTTGAACATGTCTACTTGATCAACATTAACACTGCAGTAATCACCCTCTCCATGGTCCATATCAATTAATTTGCTGTGTTCCTGAAAGTTTCAATTAAACAAACACTCATTTATCAAAATTAGTAAAACATAAGTCAGAAATGATGTGCCACCTGTGAGTTTCAAAATCTCAACCAACGAAATGAGTTCAAATGCAAAAACAAGTTGTGGGAAGAAAAGGAAAAGGAGAAATAGAATAAATTTAATTGTAAATGCTTTGCATATACCCACTGAACACCAGTTTTCAGCAGATGCTATGGGCATCAATGATACGGCCTCCTAAACCATTCAATGTTTCCTTTTTAGAGGGAGTTTCTATAGGAGCCCAGCTAACATGTTTCTCCTAAGACTCAAATACTGTTAGAAACAACACATAAACCACACTACGTTTGTATAAATATATATATAAAGTTTTAAGCTCTAGCTCTATGTAGCTGGCATATATTCTGATGAGGGAGTTCTTGATATTCTGATTGAGTACTGAAGCCACCTTATTGGAGAAAGATCAATGAAAACTCAGTGAGAAAAAAGCAGTGACAATGCATTAAGCAATTAAAAACAAACAAACAAACAAACAAGCAAACCTCTACCCCACCAGTAGTTGGTCATTCACCCCACCACCTCCCTTGCCTCACTCAAGGCTCTCTGGTCCTTGAACTTATTGATCCATAATGGCACCTCAATACTCATTCAGAATACAAAGCCCTTGCCCATCACAAAATATTAACCATCTATAGAGTGATGTATTTTGATCAATAGATAACGCATTTATTTTCAGATTGATTTCTACCTCTTTTCAATCTTCATGTGAAAGTGCTCCAATGTCAGGCAAATGACTGAAATTGATTAATATCAATTAAAAATTCTTACCAGGTCAACTATAAACCACTCCTTTACTCCACTGATCATACAGTTAACATTATCCACAGTATCCATGTGAAGAAAAGATTTTGAACCTCCACTGCTAAACCACATTACTGCATCCTAAAATGTCAAAAATGTTTGAAAAATTTAAATCAGGAAAAAATTGGCAAATTATGTAGAAACTTTGGATAAAAAATAGGGTGTTAATAGAGTTAATAACAAGTGAGAAGGTCACCTTTTTAAGTTAGTTATTTTATATGTGAGGTATAAACCGGGCTTCTTACATCCTTGGTGGATTATTCATTTGAATTTTGATAATTACTTTAAATTTGCCATTTTAGACTGAGACAACCAGACAACTGTCCCATAAGAAGTGAAGAGGGTAAGACATTCTTTCTTTCTTTAACATTCTACTATGGAGACAAAAAAAACCAGTCATCCCTCAAGCAGTAGGCATCCCCAACCAACCACAAAATAGAGTAATAAGCCAGTTTAAAGTCATGGCAAGTGAGTGGTATCGATCATTTCTTACTTGAAGTCTGGTAGTAAATCCTCCACACAACAGGCAGTTTGGAAGGAAAAATTCATCCCACATTTCTTTAGGCAAGGTATCCACCAAGTATCTATCTGAATCATTGTATATTGCCAAGAATTCAGAAAGTGTTAGATCATCAGCTGGTCTATTTCTGTTTTCTTTTTTACCATAATCCACTCGTACAGTTACACTACCATACTTTTCCCTGTAAAATAAAAAATCATCTGATAAAAATATACTTCATACCGTCAATAACAGTCACAAACTCTGATTTCTTGGAGATCATATTTTGCAAGTCCTCACCAGCAACTTCAATTTTCATATCCAAACACAAGCACAATAACAGTAGCTGCATTTATTTAGACTGAGGTAAAAAAAGGTATTGACTTCTTAAAACAACTTAAGAGTTTGAAAAAATTAAGAAGCCAGTAGACAGTACACATGAAATAAATTAAAATACTAGGGTAAGAGACACAAACATATCTCACTCTTTCAGACAAAATTCATACAGATAAAGATTTTCTTTTTGTAAACATTATTTGTGGACACTCTAAGCTGTTGAATATTAATATATTACTTACTTATGTTTAAAGTTAATAGTTTAAACCCTGAAGTTAAGTTTCCGTTATTATACAACTGGCAGTGCTTGTGAACAATATGAAGTGAATACTATGTTCTGATTGGCGATCTGAGAAAGCAACATAGGCCCATCTTGCCTGATCCAGTTTGCCTGCTTTGATCTTGCACAAGAAAACAAGATGTTAGCTGAGGATTTACAGAGTTTGTGGACAATATGCAATAGAGTCACAAACATGGCAGAAAAAAAGTAAAACAAAAGTTAACATTAATAAAACAACTCTTGCACTGCAAAAACAGTTGATTTTCTTTCCTGGCTCTTAAGATAACATGTCATTCTTGATTCATAATTAAGCAAAATACTTTTGCTCTACAATAAATAATTCATTGACCAAGCTTGATTGATAAAGATGGCTGGATATTAGCCTCTTTATTCACCTCCATTTTTACATTTTTATAGACCTTCACTTTGTCTGCAAAAAAAGAATGTGACATATATCCAGCCATCTTGACCTGGCACTCACTCAATAGCAAATATATCATTTGGTCTAACAGTCCAGGAAAAATCATTCCTGAAAAGGGCTGTTGTTTGAGACAGTGATGTTTTATCAGTGGTGCCTCTGAAATTGTCAAATGTCAGTTACTATGCAAAATTTAACATTCCTCATCAGGGCTACTCTCACCCAGGCAATAAAACTGGCCTGCTGTATTTGGCTATACTGTTGCGGTGTCCCTGCCATTTTTGGTCATTTTCTTTGTCATTTTCCTATTTATTTTGATTGTTTCTGTATGGTGAAGTTAAGAAATAAATAACGACATGTTTTATTTGTGATTTTTTTTTACATAGTTACATGTGCATTGTAGCTGACTTGGCACCAACTTATTAACTGATTAGAAGATCTCTGTTAAAAATATGCATATTTTGCTATGGTTCTTTGAGGCCATTAAACCATAATGTTTACTTTTGACAGCTGGAAAATCAGTTCTATGAAATTTTTAGCTCTAAATATTGATTTTGAGTGGACCAACTATGACATCAACTGACATCTTAATAAGCACTGAGATTTTGATTAAGAATTTAGCATGAACTCTTTTTTACATTAAAAGTCACTCCATGAAAACAAGATTGATTACATGTCTCTCTTTATTCATGCTTACAATCACGCACAAATTAAATGGTAGACTATGTTAAAGGTCTTCATGACAACTATCAATAAATCTGAAAAATCACGAACTATGATCCTTTAATGAACCAATCCCATGTAAATTTCTAGCTAATATTTTCCACCGTCCCTTTTATCTTTAAGATTTTGAAGTAACCTGTCGCGGGTACGTGGTGGATAATCTTCAATATTTACTTTAGAAAGGTAAGCAATCACCAAATAAGTACCAGCTTCAACAAATAAACTCCTGCATATATAGCCTGGCATGAGAAGTATAAGAAGTTTTAAAATTTTTTAAATCTTACCGTATATAATTATCAGTCCACAGACTAAATCCTGGAGACAATTTTGCAGCTCCCTTGAAAATGACTGGTTGGCTAATTGATGCATATTCTTTGAAGAAATCTTTAGGACTTGGGATAAAATCTATTGACTTTATCTTTCCTTCTGACGGTCGGTGCGAACCTAACGGCTGCAAATGACCGGCAGGAATGTTTTCTTGATGGCCAAAAAGGAAAAATATACTTAAAATTGGAAAACAAAGGAGAATTCTAGACATGACAGTTCAATGCTGGTGCTCTTGACCGGCTAAATTATCAACAAAAAAATTTGAAAACAAAGCGAATGTTTCATAATAATTTTGTTTCCCTGAACACGCAACTTCTGCCAGGCGTTCTTTACGATGTTGGTGCGTAAGGCATTGTGGGGATTCCCTTAAGGCATTTCAACATGGTGGACGAGATTGTGAAATAATATTATGTAATAATATTGTGTAGGAGAAGTGAAAAATTCGGAAAATGAAATGGAATACTTACAAATTAACAGCCTAATATAACAAAATTGTCGTGTATTAAATTGACTGCTGGTGAAATTTGCGATGGCAGATGAGTTTCCGTCCCTAGATTCATCCCTTGAGGAAGATATTCGTCACGCCAGAAACTTAGGGGAAAACCAAGTGAAAGCTGAAAAACCTGATGTTATAGACTTCCTTCCCGCATCAAGTATTCTCGTTGATGAAGAACAAGAAGCTAATAATTCAAACACTTTAACAAAAATCGAAGAAGAAAAATCGGACCGGGAGCTTACACCGGTACCTGAGGTTCTTCTTGAGTGCGCTGAAAATGGAATGATTGATCACGTAGAGAGAATATTAGATCAAGACCCATCTCTTATTAACTGTAGGGATAGCGACGGTTACTCGCCGCTTCACAGAGCTTGTTACAATGGACATTTGGACGTGGTTAAAGTTTTCTTGCAAAGAGGAGCTGATGTTCAGGCTAGGACAGAGGATGGATGGCAACCATTGCACTGTGCATGCAGATGGGGTGAATATGAGCTTCATGCATTGCAAGTTGTAACGGAATTATTTTAGAGATCATCCAGTCTCAAATGACTGTCTTTTAGAAAATGCTTGGTTTTAGTTGGTTCATGGGCTGTTCTTTTCTTTATGCTCTTTGATTAAATCCTGAGATTTCTTATTTACTGTATGTAATTTTGTGCAATTTGAGCTGGAGGTGCGCTGGGAAAAATTGCACCAATGCATTGTATTACATGTCCTGCAAAGTGCGTTTGTATACCCTCAATCAAAAAGTGTATGCATCACTCTTCTAAACTCATGACTTAATTTGTAAGTGTAGAATCCAAAAAGTGTTTGGAATAACCTGTTATAAGTTATTATTCTTTTAGCATTTTGATGGAATTGGTGCTTACTTGATACATGCTTGATCTATTCTTCTCCTCTTGTTCACAGGGAAGACTAAGGTGGCATCTTTACTTTTGCAAAATGGTGCTGATATAAATTCACAAACCAACGGCAAGCAGACACCCCTTCATTTTGCAGCAAGTGGGGTTGGTGGAACCTCAACATTGCAATTGCTGCTGTGCAACAGATGGCTGGATGCCAGCCTCCTAAACATGCAGAATGAAACAGCACTAGATATAGCTAGACGAAGTGGAAATCACTATAAACTGTTTGAAATTGTTGAAGATTGTATCAATGTTAAATAATAATACAATACTTTGATAAGTAAATTAATTATAGTACATTGACTTATGTTCATCAAAGAGCACTTGTAAAAATGGAGGTTTCAGATGCCATATGCTTGCAGCACTGTAATACAATAGAATTCTGTCTTTCATGTATGTTTGCAGCACTGTAATACAATAGAGTTCCTTTTTTCTCAAACTCCCAATGAGTCTAACTAAAAGGGGTCTTCTTTCACCAACAAACCAATCTTTGATTTTCCAGACCTTCATATAATTGAAGCCCAGAATTCTTTATCTGATGACCATTTTACAACCAGTATAGCCCCCAACCCTCCCCTGCAAAGAAAATAATTGTGATTCTACTTCAAAGATTATGTTCCCCTATTTGACAACTTAATCCTGGCGGCTGAAAAATTTTCAATGCTATTCTTGTTGCGTAAGTCTCATATTTATTACCACCGATCTTCTTTGAAAAACGGATATTATTTTTCTCACGCTGGCGTTAGCTACGCTTGGTCTTTTTATGGAGTGCAACAGGAGAATACAGTGCAACTTAAACAACATCATTTGGGATCAACTTCCGTACCGTGGGCTCACAATGTTTTGTTAGTTTCAACATGGCGACACGTTCACTTATCATCGATCTTTTCAAAAGCCCCAATGGAACATCGTATGGTGTTCTTATCGCTGTCTTCATTGTCGTTTTGACTACAGGTTTCGCTTCTAAGTTATTCATTTGCTGTTATCGATTAGCTTTGTGGATTGATTTTATGTTGAACCTAATGTCGCCTATCAGATCAATGACGTGTGCTTTATGATCAGTTTCCCTTCATTGATCGGTTCGTTGATCTATATCAATATATATATATAAAAGGGAAAGCATTAAGCAAGCTGAGTTCACTGAAATTCAGGATAATTTTCTTAATGACAGGCAACCGGCTACTTGGTGTTGCTGAAATCAAACAATAACTTTCGGAGACTGAAAAAGAGAAAAAATCGTGTTTGTGAAAACACAGGTTGATTATTTCAATTTATTTTCCTTGAATTCTATCCCGGAGAAACTAGAGGTAATTCTCATTTTTTTTTCTCTTGCAGTCCTTTACCTTTTGTTTGGTAGGAGTCGATCTAGAGGACGTGGGATCCTGTTTGTTGGACTAACAGATGCTGGCAAAACGCTACTCTTTAGCAGAGTAAGCTAAAAATTTTGAACCCTTCTCTTCTCTGTCATCAAAAAGTTATAACTTTTCAGGTTATTGATAGTCATCGCCTGCTTTCCTGAGCAGGGACTGATGTAAAAAACGCTCAAATTAAGCTGATATTGATATGAAATTGACAGCAATATTTTACATCTATTTAAAGCTGTCAACATTCTGTTTGATTATTAGTAAATCACATAGCTATAGATAATGGGCACTCCAGTCAAAAATTCCTTTCACTCATGAAACATTCATAGCACCTATTTAGAACTAGAAAATATTTCATTATGTTGAAGAGGGTATGTTAGAATACAGGTAAAATGTATATTAAAAAATTAACCTATACCCTTTTTTTCTCAGCTATCTAGTGGAAAACATGTGATGACACACACTTCAATAAAAGAAAACAAAAACCTTTATAAAGTAAAAGGCAGAAAGGTAAGAAGCTTTCCCAGTTAAGTTTACATGTAAATGTGTCTTTTTAAATTACAGATCCATTCATGCAGGTCTGATAACTGCATATGATAATCTGCCATGATTGTAGCTAGAAAGTCACTTTTGTTTTCATTATAACTAAGTATAAAGTATAGAAGGGATTTTTAAACCAAATAGAAATAAAAGAAATGAGATAATTGTATCTAACAGTAAATACTAGTTGGTAACATGGTCTTATCCTTTGACTGAATATTTTTTACGCTGGATAACAGATGCCTGTCAAATGGTTCAACCAGGCTAACAATTTTCTAGTCAAAGCCTAAATTTTTGTGGCAGTTGTTTGATGACCAACTTTTTTACAGCCTTGGTCATTATCACCAACAACACCATTCAAGTTAAAGTAGATTAGCTCATACTTTTTAACTGACATTTTTTTTACTTAAATCCAGTGGGAAGGTTTAATAGAGAAAATTAGTGACTGTTTGGGCCAGGATACTTTCTTTAAATTCAAGTATAAATCTTCGACTGAGAAATGGTAAAAGTAAATAATCCTATTGTTTCCAAGTTGATTGTTTAAATATGTCTTCATCAACATGTTTCTTGTTATTTTATACTCAGAGTGGCAAGACACTGGATCTAATAGATTTACCTGGTCATGAGAGAGTGAGGTCAAGATTTGTAGAACAATACAAGAGCCAGACAAGGTAACAAGGACTCAGAAGATATATGTAACATAAGAAAACTAAGCTCCAGATGGACAATGAAATAATTGTCAAACCAAGAATTCTTTTGTTTCCATCCAATTAGTTCTCTTTGGAAACTTTGAGAGCTGTCTTCAGATCCCTTTTTTTTTTTTTTTTTTGCTATGACATTTCACAAATGTTTAGACATTGTAGTCTTCTTGGATAACAATGTGCATCTTTGCTGTACTGTTTAGCAGGTGACCTTAAAGATCCCACAAACATCTTGTTAAATATGTGAAACATACATGTAACTCCTGGTGTTGTGTTCTGGTATTGTTACTGCTTAGATAGACCATCATTTGAACCAGCATTAAAGCTGAACTGGACCACCCTTTTTACACATCTCAGATAAATAAATAAATAGATATTTGTCCCTAATTGTACTAAGTGGTCCATTCGCCTATAATATATTTTCAATTGGTTTCTGAAACAGTAAGTAACTAGGAGTGTTAATTAGTTGGTTGCCAATCAATCTAAGGCTACCACCACCCACCCCTCCCCCCTCCCTCCATGTCTCAGCTTATCATCAGGTTTCTTATGATGTTCAGTTGTACCCATTAATACTTATGGTACTTATGGATAAAGAGTTTCTTGCCCAAGAACACACCACAATTTCCTGGCTTGGCTTGGACTGGAGGCAAGACCTTTCTAATCCTTACTTGACAGGATGATACTTTTATTGTAATCTGACATGCTTTAATGAATCTTGAATTTAATGTAGCAGTGTCGCAAGTTTGAATTAAAAACCTTTACTTTCTCAAATAAACACCAATTAATACTTACAGTTTTTAATTTGTTTTTATCAGAGGGATCTTGTTTGTTGTTGATAGCGTCAACTTTCCACGAGAAGCAAGAGATGTGGCAGAGTGAGTGTTGCCTATATAATATATTTAATACATGTTAAGAAAGCATTAATTTGTACATTGCCATGAGTAAGAGTAAACATCTTTTCAAAGAAAACCTTGTGTATGCACTATTTCTATTGATATTTAAAAAAAATTCAGCTTAAGAATTGTGTACCTCTTTTTTCTGGATTTAAGTTTGCATCTTAAGAAAAGAAACATTTTTATGAAACTAAATTTTAGCTGCAGGAGACTTCTAAAAACACATGAAGTAAAGGATTTTTCATACTTGCAGTGACCTTATGACTTCAAATTTTGAAACTTCTGCAGTTTCATGTAACTCAAGCCTGAGAAAGGTATCATTTTTGGGGTGTAGAAACTCCAGACAGTCCATTTCTAACAAATAGAAAATATCCTCAGCCAATAAGCTGCTAATGCAGCTTATGATGGTCTAAGTATCCATCCACACCTTAAATAACACCATGTTTAAATACCCCATCATTCAAATAAAAATAGGTAATAACATGATTTGGAGTCCAATTTAGGGTAAATAAGCACAAGTCATGTAAATTTTTCAAAGATAACAAAATTGCAGGAGCCCTTATGGTGCATTCTATTTTTAGTCTGAAAAATTTTGTAAGTACTAATTTTACCAAATTGAAAGAGAAATCATGTTATTACCTGTTAATAATGTACATGAAAAAGCATGGCACAAAGTCATGACAGATAAAATTTTGAAAGCATGTGTGGGTTATTTGTAACTTGTACTTGTGTTACAACTTTGCACTCATGTTACAACTTTGCATTTGTGTTACATGAGAATGCACTTGTTTTCAACCAATCAGAAGTGCATAGTTTTTTCATGTACATTATTACATAATAATATATGTGATAATAAAGAACACCACAATTTGATACAATTTACAGAATACTGGCAGAGTTTCAAATAAGCAGCATTTTTTTATCATGTCTGTACTGAGTTGTAGCTTAAAATCTTGTCTGACCTTTGTATAGGATAATGTATGACATTCTTGGTGACAAGTATTTATCCAGATCTGCTTCCTCTATCCTGGTTGTATGTAACAAACAAGGTGAGCTTGTCAGGGAATCTCCTGAATTAATTCTTTCCAATAAACTGACTGATACAGCAATATTAATTCTGATGGGTTTCTGTAAGTAAACTTATTCAAATATTGCCTACAACTTCAATTTGTAACATCATTTCTTACGTTACATTCCATAAAACCTTTTTGATATAAAATACTTACATAACAAAATTCGTCAAGGATGATTTGGTCCATCAATTTATAGATGGTTACCTTTTCATATAACTGTCCCTTTACAAAAAAAAAACATTTCAAGTTTTCTCCCAACATTCCAAATTGGTTATTATGTGACTGGTAAACTGATAGAAAGTGCAGCCAGTTGTTTTCTTTAGATAAACTTAAAGCAAAACTCATTATTTTTTAATTTACTAGTGCAATAAATGATAGGTTTTTGACCAATCATGATGCTTGTAGCATGTAGTTTTGTAGTGACTCATAAATTTCCTTTTCAGACCTTACAATGGCCAAGTCGCAGAGTGTAATAAAATCTCAGCTGGAAAAGGAAATGTAAGAAAAATCTTTCACTTTTGATTGGTTTGACTCCTTCATTGCATTGGGTGATAATCTGACCTCATTTCAGTGTTTGCATTTCATTGGTTGCATAATATCTAATATTTTCATAATTTACTCTCTGTGTTGTATAACCTGCTACATTTGATACTTGATTGATTGTCTTAATTTTGGCAACAAAATGTTTTCTGGGGGAAAGGTTGTGAAGCTGTGAGAATTGATCACATCATGGCTGTCAATTTTAAAGGTCCTATGATCTTAGCAAAAAAACAAAGTATTGTTTGAAGAATGAGGTATTGTACTTTCTTGTACATGCACCAGCCTCCTTTACTTTCCAGAATTCATGAGGTAAGGTTTAAATTTCTCTCAGGTTTCGAAGAAAGCTATGAGGAGGGAAACGGGATGCTATACGATCACAGTCCCACCCCCTCTCCCCTTTTCCCCCTTTTCACCCTCTTCCCCCCCTCCACTCTAGTGTTCTCTCAACTTTCTCTCTTATTTTGCCCGTACAACTGTACTTCTCTCTACTTCTAGTTGAAGTGGGGCTCTGTGAGGGTAAATAATCTGTGGTAGTGGATAAATTGGTAAAGAATTAAAAGCTGTCTTTTTCAATCTGGAGTCCAGGCAACTGCTCCCTCTACATGGATTAAGCTAACGGCTAGACGTTCTTGTTTATTGTTTTATTAGCAACACACTTCGCGTCACGCGTGCCGCTGCCCTACAAGGACAAGATGGCGGCCCAACCAATGACGCTGCGTATGTCGGAAAGAAGGGCAAGGATTTCGAGTTCAGTCATGTGTTACCGCTGACCGTGGAGTTTGCAGAGTGCAGTGCCAAGGGCCAAGTAGAGGGAGAGGCTGACATCACTTCTGTGGAAAAATGGCTGGAAAAGATCGCATGAATTGATGCTCTGTTTGTGAGAAGAAACTGTGTTCAAGAATCTTGAAGATGAAATTAAGAAATATACAGTAAAGTATCGAGAGTAAATGCAGGGCTGCTTTTGTTTTCCTTTTCTACACTCTGCAATTAGTCTCGAAAACTCATATCACCTTCCAAGCCAATCAGACGCAAAACTAAAACTACTTGCGAGTTTACCACTAAATTTTCACGAGCTAGAACGCGTTTAAATCTTTTCCCCTCAGTTAAGTTGCCTGCTCGCGATATTTTACAATACTACGATAAGCCTTTGTGATAACTACGGTTTTGGCTTCGCGACTGTTATTTTCCGTTTGGTTTGTTTAAGTATCTCTTATCTGGATATTCCTGTAAAGTTTAATGCAGTAATGTTATCACTCACACATACGGATTAGAGAAGCGGATAAAAAATTAAAGTATCTGTAAACTTGTTTCAGCTATTTTAAATTGTAAAGGTAGTGTGAGCCCTCGCTACAGAAGTTTAGAAGGCTATAAAATGAATTTATTTTGGTAGTCAAACCCTTGCAATTAATAGGAAAGAGTACAGCTCACTAAATTTCGGCGGATTTAAGATCGCAGCGCACGATGTCGACATTTTCTTTCCTCACCTAAGAGCAATGATATTAAGCGAAGCTCAAGTAGGCGCTTAACTCCTTTCCCTCCCTCCCCTCTTCCTATCACGTACATCTACCTTTGAAGAGTTCAAGTTTTTCTTCAATATACGGAAGAGAAGCTTCAGAGTCAAGTAAAAAATTGTTTATTCGGTTCGCAACCCTCTGAGGAAATTTTAAAAAGTACTAAAGAATTGTCCATTAAGTGGGAAAAGGAGACATTCAGCGAGCGTTCTACCTTATGTATAGGTCTTGTTTTAGTTATGAATTCCTGTTAATTCTCGCTCCAGCGGAATTCAGAAAAAATATATATATTCCTAAGAAAAGGGCATTTCAAACTTCCTTTTTACTTAGTCCGTAAAGGTTTGGTAATCATCAGATGAGCA